CGGACTGGCACCGGCCGGCCGGCAGCCGCCCATTTTGGACGGGAGTCACGGGTGTTACACGCCCCGGGTCGGCCAGCGTGCGTGCATTGTGCGGCGGGTAGGTGTGGGAATTAGAAACAGATCATGAACCATGCGCTTGCTGGCGCACGGATCGGGCTGCTCGGGCCGCAGAATGACTGTGCTGAATCATTTCATGTTGACAGCACCATTGACGTTTTTGGCGCTTTTGGCGCTGGCGCCTGCGCCCAAGCGCGTTGCCATCATTTGGAAATTTGTCATGATGAGCTGGCCACAGGCGGATTAGGTAACTAGGGACATTTCCTGTGACCTAAGCGGGGGCCCTGCGAAAAGAAGGAACTACGGGCAGCGCTAAGCTGATAAAGGTACCAAAAATGTATCGCGCGTACAAGAGCTTAGATGTGCCACCCAGGAGAATGCCACACAAAATTTGTTTTCGCACATGGCCCTGAATAAAGTTCGAGATCGTAAGAACATTAAGGACAGATCATTCATCGGACCTCGTGGAGATATATGCCCCCCTCCTCCGCGAGATCATGTATCCTCTCTCAGAATCGGCATGTAGTAGTTTGCTTAATCGTCCGAAGAAATATGGGCAGAGCACACGGCATAGCTGCTGAGAGCGATCACCTGAAGAGGCGCCAGTGATCGCGCACCGTGCCGAACAGAAATACTCCACGATGAGCAGCGGCTCAACACGTAGGACAGTGGCGCACATTTCAGTGGCTTCGGTTTGGGTACTAATTATATCATCGTCGTCGATCCTGTCTTGGTGGTCGCAATGGACGGCGCCGGACTCTGCTTTTGCGCCAGGAAGCCTTGGTCAGGTGGACCGCGTTGGAAGCTTGTTGGAAGAAATACCAAATATGACAAGTGGCAATCCAACAAAGAGTCCAACAGCATGCCAATGAAGATATGATACCGATAAGATGCACGAGTTGACACCAACAATTTAATTTATGTAATATCAAAACATTAAATCCCCCATTGAATTGATTTAATTGTACACCGTATTGCTGAGAAAACAAACCGAACGTGGCTCTTGGATAGCGAATAATCTTCACGCCAAACTGCTTGATAACGGCTGCCAAGAAGTCTTCTAAAACGTTGAAATGCTGTTTCTTCTGGCAAGATAACCCAGCATCCTAGAAAGACTTAATCATGGGTGCTGCCATCAGACAGCTAAGGGGAACATGAGGGCTCCCATGACCCCTGGGCGTAGCCCGTCCACCTCCACCTCCCCCCCCCCCCCTTCACACACCAGTATCGGCGATCACTTTCTCTCAGCGGTCTGTTTCCCAAATAACTAAATTGCTCTCGCTCCGAAGCTTCCACCCCGGGCCTCCATATCATTGGCAACTTCCCCCCCCCCCCCCTATTAAAGCTTTAGAACGCTCCTGTGGGAATTACAGAAATAAACTACAAAATATCTGCCTGGTTGTAGTTTTTTTATCCAACTATGGCGCTTCAAACCCGCCACTACTCAGGCACGAAATTATTCAGGGCACCTAACGTTGCGTAGGTGGTTTGTGACAACTGTAAGCAGCATTTACCATCTGCGAGGTCACGTTTGGAGGCTTGATGTCAGGGAGGTGTGGTGGATCCAGTGGCATTGCGGGCAGAATAATTGTTAGGATCATCGTTCTCGCCTGGAGTGTTATCATGTAAACAACGATTTGATCAATTAACTCTTCGGTTTGCGCCAGATGTTATGGTGTCCTGAGAAGGCCTCGATGATATTTGGCTGGCAGCCATGTACGTGTCACTACGAGAATGATCGCCTTGGAATTGGTGGGACTTAAACCAAGGTCCTCTCATTACGAGTCCAGGGCTCTTCGAACTGAGCCAACCAAGAATCTGCACGGTTATTTCGGCCGTAGTATGCCTCCTCTCAGTCCCTCCGTAAAACTTTGAGCCAGTGTCATAGTTTGGCGAAAATAAGGGATGGAGTCTCCCATCTGAGTAGGGCAGCACACTATTGGACAATGCAATTACATTATAGGTCATCTTGGGTAACTTTAGTGCTTCAGAACTAAGACACATCATCCTTTGTGTAATCCATTTTCATTTCAGTCACATCTTCCTTAAAATTCACATTCATTGCCACGTGAATGCCTTGACAAGTAATGACATTCACGGCTGACTGTAAAATCTGAATTGGTACAAATCAAACTTGCACCAAAATCGTAAAGATGCCTTCAAGCCTCTCATGGCACATCGGAGTACAGCAACGTTGCTTGTCCACTTACCGATCCGATAAAAAGGATCAACTTGCATCCAGAAAAGGTGACTCAAACATCTAACGAAACTGGTGACTTTCGTCGAGCCATTTGTTCCTGACAGTTTTCAGCAATGGTAGGGAAAGCAAATCTACATTCTAGTATTTCGTGACATCGAGGTATGGGGAGCATCCACCAGAGATGTACATATGCTATGAACTGGAAGTGCATCTGCATTCCCAACATCTTAGAAAATTGATGTCTGGTATTTTGGTAGGGCATTCGTATACTCCTGGTTCAGTGGTTCATTCCTCCTCCCCTTTCCTCTCTTTCGGGGAGCCATCGAAACGTCCGGGATTGCAGCGTCCAGTGTTCATATCGTCCAAGATGTCTCTGGCGTCCACTTCACATCATCGTCACACCCAATGTCCAACTATTCCGCATCTCATCTCCTAGCGACAGTACTTCCCAGTCACGCCCCACTGCCGCGGCGGTGGCGGCCCGGTCTCGCACGGATGCTCCTATCCCTGCCCGCCGGGCGGACCGAGAGGAGGCGCGCTGAGAGAGTTCCCATCAGGCGGCGGTGGCGGCAGGTGCGGCAGGCCCGTCGCCAGGTGCCGCCGTCGGGGGTCGTGGGAGAGTCGGCCCCGCCGGAATGCGGGCACCTGTGCGTCGTTTAGAGTGCGCCGCTGGGGAATGCGGGGAATGCTCGCGCCGCCACGCGTCGGCTGCCGTCGGACGCGTGGCGACGGCCGCGTCGCCGACCGCTTGGGGGGACGCTCATCACGTGCTTTGTGGCGAGTTCTCAGGCCGGGGCAGTCAGTCACCTGGGCATTGGAGTGACGCCGACGCAGACAGCTGGCACCTGGAGCTGGCGTGTCCGCTCGCTGAACTGGATGGCATCGCGAAACAGCTGAACGGAGGTTGACTTCGAATTCGGCGATCAGCTGCATTGCTTGGAAATGTGCAGTGCCGCAACATTTTGCGAGCTGTCTCATTGTCATTCTGCTTAATATGACATGCGTCCGCCCGACTTGTTCCGCGCGAGGGCTGGAGTCGCCGTAACCATTGGCACCCAGCTCGAGGTGCGGTATTCAGTGCTGAGAACGGTGTCGTTTTCTCGCACCACTTGATCTTACAGCGACATTCTTCGCAGACGTGTGTGTCCCCGTGCTTTGTGCTCGGGAGATGCTTTCCCGTGTCCTCCCGTGGTGATATTGCACTAACCACCCTACCAATGAGTGATCCCCCAGCCTTATGCATTCTTCTTGAGTCACGAAGTCCCGCACTACAAACGTGATTCGAAGTTGTTACGATTCAATGATGTGTGATGTCTGACTCCATATTGTAACATTCTATCAGCGCCTACTTCATCATTGATAAGATGTCTGGCTTTGGACTCGGACTCGCCACTCGCCGCTGGAAGCAAGTTCTGCAAAACATGCAGAGTGGACCCAGAGAGCTTCGGGTGTCTTGGTGGCTTGGGCCATTCAGATATATCCAAAACGCGAGGAAGCTTTGACCATTCACTTCTCACACTTCTATCTTTTGTCAGTTTAGTGTCGTTTTAAATATTCGTGGTCATCAGAATTGCTCCCTCGAGTGAATGTCATTGTTCAGCTGCCTCGCTAATCATCCCTTGTGTTGACTGATATTACCAACCATATACTAGGACCACAAGATGATAATGCTGTCTCATCCTGCCAGACGGACGGTCCTGATCTCCTGTGTTGCGCCAGGCGACGTCATTATATCGCAGCCCATGGTAGGTCTTCTCTCATTTGTCGCGGAAATACTACTACCGCCCTCAGAGCCGACTCGAACTCACGGCGCCTGCAACTAAACACTGAAACCGAATGCTTGTCAGTATGACGTTTGTTTCGGCCCTGTATATTCATCTAATTACGCTGAGACGGCTCTACTCATGGTTCAGCGTTTGGTGGACGCCAAACATGGTATCAACAATTCCTTCCGGTTCTCTTTTATTCCTTCAACTTTTAAGCCAGTCTCACAAACCCATTACCGTAACAATGCACCATTATTTCTTAACGTCTATCTGTATCGTCTTCCACTTTGCTACATATTGGCCCAAGTGCAAGTGAATGACAGAAGCTATTCACAAATAAGTGAAATTGCGATCGTCATAATCTTGCGTAGCACAAGAGGCTCCTCACATCGCTACATCTTTACACCCATACAAAGACCTCAGCAGACATCCAAGCATTGCCACCCATGCTGCCCAAGATTGCATGTGATCTACACTGTCCACTCCCATCAGAGGTCAATGTATGCCCGAAAGTAGCCGACTGTAACTGACCCCTGTCGGAAATCAATCCCACTCTCGCGTGTGGCGTTGATTGGCTTCACTTTGTGTCTCCGAGGTGCTCGAACGTAGACCGCACGTCCAGCCCAGCCATCGCCTTCCGGTAATGGGCGACCTCCTTTCCTTCCCAGTGATGGTGCTCCGCGGGCAGGCTGGCGTACCTGGGGCAAGACCACGTGCCGCTGGAGAGGGGCGTCGGCCGCAGCACCAAGACCACGTGCCACTGGAGAGGGGCGTCGGCCGCAGCACCAAGACCGCGTGCCCCTAGAGAGGGGTGTCGGCCACAGCGACAGTACCATGTGTTACTTGGGAGGGACGTCAGCCACAGTAACGATACCATGTGTTACTTGGGAGGGGCGTCAGCCACAGTAACGATACCATGTGTTACTTGGGAGGGACGTCAGCCACAGTAACGATACCATGTGTTACTTGGGAGGGACGTCAGCTACGGCAATAAAATGACAATCGCAGGGCGTCAAAGAGGCATCATAAAAATTGTACTTGTTGAGGGTCAAATTTCAGCTGATTCATAGCAGAAAACTGTGAACTGTCTGATCTGTCCAGTGCATTGCTTTTACAACACACTATGTTGTAATTCATGCGGTATGGTCAAAAACCAAGAGTAAAGGTGAGTGGTCCAGTTATTTGAGGTTTGTTGAGGATTGGAAGAGGAGGAGGATTGTCTTTTCGGGAGCAGATGTTTTCGGCTGTTCCAGGAAAATGCATCCTTATTTTGCAGTGAGCACAACCCTTTTCAAGATAAACGAAAGTTACAATCTCGAAATCCATGTGAATGTAGCAAACTCGTCATGTCACACTTCGCGTACATTGTCTTATCCTCCGCGGTCCCGACTCTCTCGTCTAGCGCCCTGGCCTCTACTGGCCGTCGGCCAGGATCAAATCGAGCACCCGTGCTGTCCTCCGTTTTTCCATTACCCCTTCCCTCCCCCGACACGCGGCGGCGTCGCTGCGGACGCGGCGACGATGGCGACCGTCCGCTGGCCCCGTCCGTCGGTCCCAACAACTGGCCGATGTCACACATATAAGAGTACCTTGCGCAAAATTACGGTTACAACGAGCACCTCCTAGAACTTAATACACTCCCCTTATTTATACATCATTGCACTAAGTCAGCGCAGTAGGACGTCGCTCCCGCGCGCTTCGGCGGCGGCTTGATGTCATGATTGTCACACTTCCAGAACAGTCACTGCTGCTCCCCCCCCCCCCCTCCCCCAGATTCGTATGCCCAGCACACGACCGCCTTCTGACACGTTCTCTGGAGGTTCGCAGACCAGACCGATCTCCTCTAGGTGACCTTTCATCTTTGCTCCGGTGGAAATATATGCATTCACGAGGCGGCCATCTACTTAGGCAGATGTAGCGCTGCGTATTTTCGGGTTTGGGCTTGATGCCACGCCGAACACTTTCCTCATCACTCACGCCGAAGCCCAGTCTAATCAGACTCCATCTCCTACCCCGACACAACACAGTCTGGTAGGGCCACAGTCGGCTCATGCACGTGGACCTGCAGATAAGCGTCTTGCAGGTCCAGGAGGGCCATGTTTCAGTCCACGCCGGCGCCACTCACGGATCTTCTCTTTACAAACATCTGTGTCAGCCTTGTGCCGGTCCAGAGGCGCGTTCACCTATCCGAAGTCTATGACCGGACGCACCTTGTCCTTCGCTTGAATCCCTGTTATGCGCGGAATCGTGCCTTTGGCCTCCCCATGCACGCGTTCATCGCACGGGATGAGCCATCAATGCGTCACCCTCTTCGTGAGCTCTCGCTCGGGCTCCTGTTGGACTCTCGTTGGAATCATGCATTCCTCCGCCGTGTTGTGCAGCTACTTCAGCCACTTTCTCCCGCATTATGTCCACCCCTTCCACCGCACCCGCCACGTCTTTCCCTTCTACTCATAGTTCACAAGAAAGTGTTCATCAGCCCGCTCGGCCGGCGCGGCCACCGCCTCCACTACCCCGACACTTCAGCCATCTGAACATCGAATCTCACGCGGTCACTCCTGCTCATCGTAACGCCACACAGGGCGCTGACACCGCTCTTCACGAGGATGAGAACAAAGCGGAGGGGTTTACGTGCCGCCACCAGCACGTCTACAGGCACCGCTTCGCCAGACCGCAGTCACACGCTCGCCACATTGTTCCCCACGCCAGTACCGCTCTCCGCTCTTCGTCGTAGCGCTCACCGGGCGTCGATTCCAGCGCCGGCACACCGACGTGTGTGCTGTGCTGGACACTGACTGGACCCCGCATCGAGCAGCGCCTCACAGTCCGCACCGTCCACAGATAGCCGCACGACTGGCGGCGCCCCACTCACTGACGAACAGAGAGGGGGCTGGCGCCGAGCTCTCCTCTCCTGCGCCGTTTTCCGGGCACGCAGAGGCGAACTGTCCCACCCGGTTGCAGCTTGTAGCATGTCACGAAGCTGCGGCCAACGCGGAGCCCTCTTCCGTCACGCTGCCCGCGGCCTGACATGCAGTCGCGGGCAATATGACTGGGCTGCCGGCACGCGTGGCGCTTCACAGTGGTTGCTACCGCGGCCGTCCGCAATGCCTCTCCGGCGGCAGCAGCCACAGTGTTCGTCTTCTCATCGGCGAGCACTGATTGGACGCGACTGATCACCTGGCTAAGCGTTATGTCTTCTACGCGTGTTCCTGCTCGGAAAACGCAGCGGGCCCTTTCCGGCAGTTTTGCCACAATGCACAGGCTAAGCTGCCGCCTGGCATACCCTCAACGAGCCGGCGAGCGCGCGCAGCTCCGGGACGAAGACGTCAACTGCCCCCTCCCCCCCCCCCCCTATGAGGTAGCTTTCTGCGCTCTTACTGCTCGTATGCCTTATACCGGTCCGCCGCAAAGACCGATCTTAGGGCCTTTTTGATGTCGTTGTAGCTCTTCTTGCCACGCTCCTCGAGCTGCTGATATACCGCGAACGCACCACCACTCAGCCCGAGCAGGACGACCATGTGCAGTCCACCGATTCCCCGCAATTGACACACAAGCCCGACTTTTTCCGGCCACTCGCACATCGGCTTTGGCACACCGTCCAACTCCGGGACTAGCTGGAGGTCAGCCGCAGCGTCCGTCGTGTGGGCTACCGGCCCAACACCGCCCTGGGGCACACTGTGACAGTCTTTGCTCCCCATCACAGTGGTCCCGAAAAGCCGAAATAGTTTTGAACAAACTTTTCGCGGAACAGTTAGCGTGCCTTGCCTCAGCGTCCGCGGCCCCGACTCTCTCGTCACAAGCCCTGTCCTCCACTGGCCGGCGGCAGGATCAAACTAGGCGTCCGTGCTGTTCCCCGTAATTACTTATCCCTCCCCCCTCGACACATGGCGGCGTCGCTCCAGACGCGGCGGCGATGGCCATGGCCAGCCAGCCCCCTCCGTACGTCCCAACAGCTGGCCGCTGTCTCAGATATAGAGTACGCTGCTCTACGCTAAACCATGGCTACAGCGAGCACCTCTAGCATTCTAACGCGGTGAATATGACTGCTGTATGCCCTTAGATTCATCAAATAGTAAATTAAAAATTGTGGCATGCGACCAAGAAAGATACAAGAAAGGAAGGAGGGAAGGAAGGAAATATGAAAACATTTGTTTCGGATCGTGACGAGAGCATCCAAGACAACATATATCGGTCTGTGTGAAAGGATTCATTTCTTTCTGCTAGAATGCTGTTCAAGTAGAAAGGAAGTGGATCAGCTCGACAACGTCATAAGGCGATGCCTTATGGATAACTCCCGTCGTGACGAGCATACGGACAGCCAAAAGGAGTGTGTGAGCGGGGCCTACCCCCTCTACCTTAGTCCCACATTATTTGGCACTATACATTGCTGGTGACAGAAAGTTGCATTTCAGAACAAATTTAGGATGCGGTTCAACTCGTTTTGGAGTCCGTCGTACTCTTCAACAGTGCAGCCATGCAGTTCTTGGACATAGCGCTTGGCGGAAGTTGCAGGCAGACAAGGTCATGAGTAGTAACTCACCTTGCCGGAGCCTCTTTTGGCGCTTTTTTCGTGAGGGCGGCTGAGAACCTTACACAAACCCAGCTGCCCGCACCGATAAAGGCCACACTGAGTCTCAGCTAGCTTCATCGCCAAGAAGGATTCACGTAGACTGTGTGTCTCTGTCAACCCACCAGCTAAGTGTCTTCAGAAATAGCTGCCAGTCATGTGCCAAGACCTCCCTACACTTTTGTCGATCATCTCGCTGGGAACCGTCCCATTTACCTGGAGAATCACGTGCTAAGAATTCCCTGATGTCTCCCTCCCGACCCACCTGCTGAGGACGTGCTGCAGCAGGGCGTCCTCTTCGGCGCTGACCGGGAGCTGGTACATCTGCAGGTTCTGCTTCAGCTGGTCACGTGATACGACGCCCATCAGGTGTGAAGTGACGCCCGGCCGGGTCATGAAGTGACGCAGCGCCAGCCGGGTCAGGTCAGAACCCTGCGACTGCAGCGCAGGTGACGGTCAGCAGTGCAGACGTGATCGTGTACTGCGCATTGATGCATGCATGCGTGCGTGCGTGTGCGCGTGAGTGCGTGTGCGCGTGTGTGTGCGTGTGTGCGTGCGTGAATACATGTGCGTGTGAGTGTGCATTGCGAGAGAACAGCCGTTGAATCGGTATCGAGAAGGCTCGGTATCGAGAAATATTTAATCCCCGGGCGTAATGAATGCAGTGGTCTGGTGGCCAGAGCCTCCTTCTGAAGTCTGCACTTTTCGTTTTCACGATAGATGACGCCTGACAGCAAGCTTAAATCATATTGATGCATTCTCGCTGGGCCTCAGCCCTCCATCCTTCTAAACTCTGGCCGCACCCGTGAATTAAGCCACCTGTGTGCTACGATAAGTTTTGACACCATTCTGTCACTGGAAGTCGACAGATTTCACCCACTTCAACTGCAGCTCACCTTACGTAACGTGCCCTGAATCTTGGCCTAAAATCTTCAGTCAGGCCACCGAAATGGTAACGGGCCAGGTCAAAGAATATATTGATCAACTTGCAGAACGTTCTTTAGTTAAGGTAGAAGCCAGAGCGTCCCAAGCTTATGTATGGACTGGTGCAATGGCTAGATGAGCCTCACCAGTCAACCTCATTGGGAGCAATGACCTTGCATCACTTGACCGCTAGGCTGAGAGAGGTCAAGCTGTTCCACGGAGGACTATTTTTTGCTACATGTATCAGAACGCGAAAATTCTATCAGCATATCTAACAGGTTTTTGTTTTCAAATTCAGCAGCCAGGTCTTTGTGACATTCGATAGCAGGTCCAGTCTAGATGAGCATCAAGGTTAAACTGCAAACCAGAGTGCAAATACCCATATCCATGCCATCTACGTATCCACGGGGTTGCAAACATCAGGCATTGGCCTGATTCTGTGATCCCGTGATTCCGTGCCGGTGTAACGCGCTTGGAAAGCATGCGCCATTGGTTGTAGTAAAAACGTAGGTTGATATAAACTGTCGGTTGCACATGGCCTTGCCTGACAAAAGACAAATCACAGAGCCAGGTCTTGTCTCCAGCTGGTCTTCCGTCGGGCGTGGGTCTCTTATTTTATCTCCGTCATTTTTTAAGCCCGTGCTTTCCGGAACATATGGAGCAGCAAGCTTCTTATTGACCTTTGGAACCCTAAAACCCTGGATCATCCATGAGCCCGCGCCATGATCCAGCATGTTCAGCCGAAATGTCGCCAGGTCACATGAAACTGCGCGCTCTCAGTTCCAACCACTTATTGAGTATATATCATAACACAGAGTGTCCTTGAGGCTATCTCAGAAGCGTCAAGAGGTGCGTAAATCTGCTCATTACCTTTCAGGTTGACTCCCCGTGTTTAAACAAAGCACAATCTCCTAAATAATTAAGCAAATTTGGATACAAGTAGAGGAAACGTTAGACTGAGGAAACGTTAGACTATCTCGACGGCAGAAGGACGGGGCACGGTAACATAAAATCAACAACCCTCAGTTTCCTTCATCGTGGGCCTGCTATAACGGGGCCCCGCTGGTTATTGCGCAATCGACATTCACACCAGCCAGCAGACAATCCCACAGTTGAAACAGAGCGCGCGCGGCGCGCTCACCTTGCAGTGCTGCTGCAGCTGGAGGGTGGTGCTCTTGAGCAGGTCGCTGGCCGGGTGCCAGGCGGGCGGACCGTTGGGGGAGAGCAGCCCCATCGAGGTCGCACCGGCGTCGATGACAGCGATGTTCCGCTCCCTGGTGACAGGCAGACAGCCAGGGCCTGATCTCATGTCCAGCTTCAGTCAGCTGATCACGGCACGGTATGCAACTCCGGCACCGCATGCGTCCATTTCAGCGGCCGGTAAGCGCATGTAATACCGGTCAGTGATAGTTCTGGCTGATTCGAAAAACAGGTGGATCTGCGAGAGCCGCATCTCTGGTGAAATATGTGCCACTCATGTGAGCTTGCAGTTTGCAGCTTGAGGGAATTATTTGTCACGCAATTTGCACGAATATAAGTTTAGTCCTAAATACGCATTCTGCGGACGAAGCGGAAAAGAAAGAAAAAATGCCAAAGACAGGACGATCCGCGATGAGCGACCTTACGGTGCGCGGACACGGAGTCGCAGAGGGCGGGACGCCTGTCTCTCGACCGCTCCTTCTCGAGTCCTATCCATACTGACCGGTCCGAGGAACAGCGGGTCACCGCTACCGTCGAAGGGCGGCCTGGCAACCTCGCCGCCCGGCACGGCGCTTTGTTAGGCGACCACGCGCCGCAAGCGAGATCTGAACAACGCTGGGGGGCCGGGAGAGGGAGAGAGAGAGGACGAGGGAGAGGGAGAGAGAGAAGGAAAGGGAGAGGGAAAAGGGAAGGGAGAGAGAGAGGACGAGGGAAAGGGAGAGGGTGAAGGAGAAGGAAAGGGAGAGGGAAAGGGAAAGGGAAAGGGAGAGGAAGAGGGTGAAGGAGAAGGAAAGGGAGAGGGAAAGGGAAAGGGAGAGGGGAAGGAGAAGGAAAGGGAGAGGGAGAGGGAAAGAGAGAGGGGGAAGGAGAAGGAAAGGGAGAGGGAAAGGGTGAGGGAAGGGGAGAGGAAAAGGGAAAGGGAGAGGGAGAGGAAGAGGTAGGGAAAAGGCAAGAGAGGGGTTTGGTGGCTAAGAAACAACATAAATAATGTCCAGCACACCATTGCTCGCAGGATCATTTTGGGTCTATGTAAGATACTCACTGGAAGAAGGGTAAGAAAGACTGCAAGGTATCATCGTGCAGATTGTTTCGACTGTATGACAGAATGGAGTCTATCTTGACCTTACTTCGCTTCACAACTTCCTTCAGGGTGCTTACAGGATAGCCTGGAAAACGAAGACAGCTGTCAACCGGATATCGGTGTCTTTCAATTCGGCAGGCTGCCCAATAACCCTTGGTATCATTGGGGCGAAAACCCGGCGTATTCCGCTACCGGACAGGGGTGGAACTTCACACAAGGCATGATGGGTAGGGGGGGGGGGGACAAAACACAAATGGAAGGAGTGGCCGAGGGTAATCCTTGACCCCTCTCCAATGACTCCATCAGGCAAGTAAGCGTACGATTGAGAGGTTCCGGCTGAATACTGAAGCTCCCTCACCTCAAACAAATACGAAGCTTCACCCATGCCGTCATATGATAGGAGCACAAAAACGGCTATGGACCAGCCATCTGAGAGCACACCTCACCGCAGCAAGTTATAACCCGCGCGCACACCGCAAGCTGGAGCGCACGCTCGACGCGCCACTGACCGGTGATGCCGATACAGCGCGCCTTGCCCTCGTCCACCATCTCCTGCAGTGCGGGCAGCGTCTCGGAGACGATGGTCTCCAGGTCGGGACAGAACTCGAGGTCGTGCACCTGCAGCAGGTCCACGTGCTGCAGCCGCAGCCGCCGCAGACTCAGCTCCACGCTGCGCCTGACGCGCGCCGCGCTGAAGTCGAACATGCCGGCGTAGTCCAGATCGTAGCGTCCCACCTTGGTGGCCAGGTAGTACGCCTCACGCGGCACGTCCCGCAGCGCCTGCGCCAGGCGTGGGTCGGTCAGCCTGAGGACTGGAGCTCAGCCACACTCCGGCCCCCCGGCATCATCAGGTGCCAATGTTGCGATCAGTTGAAGTCCCTGTGGCGCTCATTGTGGATTACTCTGCGATGTTACCTCACGCAATGTTATGGATCGTCGGAGAAAGGATGTCCCAGCCAGGATGCAGTAAAGAAATTGCCACGAGACGATACTTGACCATTGTCATGCAGGGAAACGGCAAGACCGCACATAAGCCACCCACCCTCAGATGCCGCTCGGAAGCAACATCACCTCGATGGGCGGAGAATGGCCGCTGGACGGCGAGCATGTGAATGCGCCAGCGTGAAACGTTGGCGGCAACTCACTCTGGGCTGCTTTGTACTCGTGGGCCGCTTGTGGGGGCGGCCCACGAGATGCAGGGGCGACGACGCCGTGGGGATACCGAGTATGCGCTCCCCGCAAACTTTTGGAACGTGTGGGACTGTCCCTCACAACCTACGAGACCCAAACTTTTCGAACGTATGCATACACGTCTCGCTGAAACCGGTGACACAAGCATATCAAGCAGAGCTCACACACAGGTCATACAAACCAGAACACAGAACTCTAAACCAAACCTGTTGAGCGCGACTATAACAACGCCGTGAATGAAACATGGCAAGCTGACCCCCCCCCCCCCCCCACGTTGAACTGGGTGCATGCCATGTCAAACTTGGTCCTCATAACTCCGTCAGCTCCTTGGGGCAGGAAGAACCCAAAACTTGGCAAGCACAAAAGGTATTAAAAAAGCAAGTTTGCATTTTTATTCATCTGTTTGATATGAAACGCATTTGCTGAGCTCTGTCTCAGGGCTGATCTGTCTATATGATATCAGAGCTGATCAGCGCGCATCTGTGATAAAATAAGGCGCAAACACTGTATGCCAGTCCAGTATGCGTCTAATCGCGTCTTCGCCATCGGAGCGCCTGTATGGGTACAGATCTGTTATATCTCTTACACGGCACAGCCTTGGTTGTAACGATAGTCACGTATGGTCACGTGCTTCGCAAGTCGCTGGTCAGGATTAAGGATGGACCACAGGGCAAACCCCCAAAAAAGCGTGTTAGCTTTTCATGTGCAAACAGATGAAAATAGATAACACAAACAGATAACACAAACAGATAGATAACACAAACAGATAGATAACGCAAACAGATAAACATAGATTCATCTAGCCCTAAAGGCGGTGGGGCAAGCCAGCTTATAAGACAAGGAGGAATAACCATTTGTCGCCTTTGAAAATGTGCGCGCTATTACGGCGCGACCTGGAAACGTGGACCTGGACGTGGGTCTCTTAAAGTCACAAGTCAGTAATAAAAAACAGGGATTTTCACGACTTTTTAGCATTGCATTCCAGTGTTCCGAATCTGCGTAATCATCTTGACTCCTGTAACTTAAAGTCTAGTTACTAGTACAGCGACAGTACAGTAGCTGTAAGTTTATTTCAAGGCCCTGTCCTCTTTAATCAAAACACTCCACCTTCACCCAGGGCTCCAGCTCTGTTCAGCTTCTTTTTTAACTTCTTGCAATCCCTCCCGCCCTACCTCTCTCCGAGCTAAAAACATAAATGTTCTGCATACGTGGGTTTGTGTTCGTAGCACTTGTTATACGGGGTTTGCTTCGTACATCTCCCAAAATGAACGATCCAGTTCATCGTCAGTTTTCCACGCGACCTTCTTGTCCGACAGAACTGCGGGTGCTTTCAGGTGTAGCACAATGCTCCGTCACAGCCGCGCGGGCTTAGCTGACTTGATTATCCGGTTGCTAGGAGACCTTCCTTCGACATTTGGGCAGAACAGCGCGCCCGGCCCGGGCTTATACCAACGTACCATCGTACGGCAAGCTTGGAATCTTGTCATTCGACCCCGGCACGCGTGGGTTTCCGGTGCATAGGACCGCTCGCGCTGCGCGCTGTTTCCGTACCGCATACTTGCAATGCAATGTGTTGTGCTCGCGTTCGTCCTCGTTTTCACTCGTTCAAAAAGTCAAATTCCGTCTTCGCAAATCTCTTGTCGTTATTCCAAGCTCCAATCTCGGCAAACCGCACCACACCCGTACCCTCCGGCCGCTACCCGCTAACGCCCAGCGGTGTGCCCACTCCCCGCGCCCGCCGGAACTGCTCAGCTGATCACACAACTCCCCTGCCCGCCGGAACTGCCCAGCTGAGCCCCGGCCGTTACACACTGGAATTGGATGCACCCACGAAACACGCTGAGGCGGTTCAAGGCCCCGTGCAGATCCAAGCAATGCACATGTTATACATCAATTGACGTTTTATTATTTCACCTAGGCAGAGCCCAGCTCACCACCAATTTCATTCCACTGAGTTGAGAGGTCTGCCCGCTGGGCCACACAGCAAACCATCTGCTCTTGGGCTAGGTAATGTCGGTGTATTAGCTTTTCCCAGCATGCAACGCAGACAGTGACTGGAACCCGATATCCACCAGTACCAAAACCCACTATCCGATCATCCTTAGTTTTTGCTGATCGACTGTTTCTTGCCTTTTTCGAACGGAATTTCTCCCATACTGCCGTAGGCGAGGATGCCCAGATAAATGACAGCACTGAATGCAAACGTACTTATCGTCTAATCCCAAAAGCGCTTTGACGTCGTTGGCTTTTTAATCAGTAAATGCAATATTTGTTCAATGAAGTCGTTTTCACGCTATTTTGTGTGTTGTTCATTTACGAGGTTTAACAGATTCCATTGACACAATTTCACTACAAATCCTCCATCTGGTACATCAACCTGTACTTCATGGTACTTTAAAGTTTTCAGCAGCAGAACTCCATCATGTTAAGCCAGACTGCGACTTTTTGAACTGATCATGCATGAATAGATGAATTAATACGCTACGATAACAATACCAGCTGTTATCATGCCAAACACATGACAAGTTGCATGTTAACTAACATTATCGAGAATAGCAACGCAGAACGGCAAGGGATAGTGCGGCAAGATTGAAATGGCGACTGCAAAGTAAATGGCGATTGCAAATTAGACGCTGCAAGCTAGATTGTGTCATCGTTGCCATTTCCATGGATTATGTAGATAGCTATTTCAATACATTACAGGGTCGCAGAACGTGACCTATGCGACTGGCTACACCATTGCCAGTAAATATATGGTTATGCTGCTGTACGCTTACTAAATCGTTTGAATGCTCTTTTTCTATTTGTCTTGTACTATAACCTGATCTTCACCGACCAACAGAAAGGAATGATTGTCACATGTATCAGTGCACCTCCTAAGGTCAGAACACCCCGCCGTAGTGGGGTGTTCTGACCTGGTGTTCCAGTGGCGCGATGGTTTACACCGGTGCTCCGGTATGACCAATCGCGCCGCTGGAACACCGCCATCATAAGGTAATATCTACCAGCTGAGGGGATAAACAAAACAATAGGCCTTATACAGGGAGGTTAGACTGGAAGGTCCTTCGAAACAGACCTGACCCGGATCGCCCGTGGCGAACCCCACAAGCAAACATACCTCTCGCCGTCCATGGCCAGGTGGAGGGCTCCCGTGACCCTGGGTCACATAGTTTAGGTATCTGTGCGCCGTAACTGAGCCCCCTTGCCAGATTGGCAGCATGCTGAGGGTCGCAGCCTGATCATGACCATACGCACTGGATCCATGGTGACTTTTGCGGCTCCCCAAAATTTCAAGGTCAGCAAAAAGATATGTTTCCCCTGTTTGCCCGTGGTGGCGCCTCCCCTGGCAGTGTGTCTCCTAAAATCGGAAGTTTCATCTTATATTAAAGATGGTCAGCTGATCCCGACCACATTTGTCCGACAGCAACGCCATCTATTCGCCACCCGACGCCTGCGGTATCACCGCTCTTGATGCGTCGGCCGTGGAGGCGAGACACCCGTCCCTCACCTCTCCGAGGAACTCCTCGCTCTGGAGGGAGCGCCGCCGGCTGTGGAGGCGTGCCAGCCGACCCTCACCTCTCCGAGGAACTCCTCGCTCTGGAGGGAGCGCCGCCGGCTGTGGAGGCGTGCCAGCCGACCCTCACCTCTCCGAGGAACTCCTCGCTCTGGAGGGAGCGCCGCCGGCTGTGGAGGCATGCCAGCCGAACCTCACCTCTCCGAGGAACTCCTCGCTCTGGAGGGAGCGCCGCCGAATGTGGAGGCGTGCCAGCCGACCCTCACCTCTCCGAGGAACTCCTCGCTCTTGCCCTGGCCGTACCAGGGCGAAGTGTCGATCAGGTTAACGCCCGACCTCAGCGCCAGGTCAACCGTGCGCAGACACTCGGCCCGGTCGAAGTCTCCGTACAGACCACCCAGTGCCACGCCACCGATGCTGACCTCCGACACATGCATACCTGCCGACGGGGGAACAAGGGGTCAGATGTCCGGCGGGGCAAGGGTCAGACGTGGAGACGTGGCCGCTGTAGAAAGCCGTGCGCTGTGGCGTCACTCATCTGAACACGCAACATTCCACGACCATGAACAGAGCAGGCGGGCCAGCTGCAGCAAGGGTCGTGCCAGGATCTAGAACGTAAAAACCAAGCCCTTCATTTAAAGATAGCGTTACGGTGTCCGTAAAAACACAAAGTTCAATGTGAAAACTCGCAGGCAAAACGGAAAGAACGGAAGGCGGGATCTGAAGATCTGACAAAACGTGAACCTTCAACCGGATCAACTTCAACCGGACATATCTGTCACAAACAAACATATCTGATAGGTTTTTGTTTTCAAATTTAGCAGCCAGGTCTTTGTGATATTCGATATCAGGTGCAGTCTAGATGAGCAGCAAGGTTAAACTGCAAACCAGAGTGTAAATACCCATATCCATGCCATCTACGTATCCACGGGGTTGCAAACATCAGGCCAGATATGTCCAGTTTGTGACAGATGAAGTACCCTTGGAGGTCTGTTCACGCAGGCGTATTTTTCAGCGCGTCGGACATGCGCAGCGCACGTAGCCTACGACTACAAACTGTGCATCTTCATACGTTATGATTTTCCGGAATGCGTCATCTTTTCGACAGCTACCGGTGTTGCACAACAAATGATTAGCGTGTTGTCCTTTCTCTTGCCTGATCATGCTGCGCGGGCTTTAAGAGAAGAGGTGCCCAAATATTTTGGACAGAATGGTTGGTTGCCTAATAAACGACTTATTTGCATCGTAGTTGAAGACGATTAATAGTGACTCACCGATTACAGGTGTCTTATATACCTGAATATTCCAGGTGTTTTACGGTTATTTAAACATTTTTCCACCTACTCATAACTCATTAACAGGTGAGCAGAAGTGCCCACCCCAGGGAACTGCGGCACGCAACCCGACGTTAATACCTGCCTTAGCAACGGCAACGTTGAAGGCCACAGCACTAGCTAAGCAGTGTGAAACCTGCTAATCAAACTGAACTTCATAGGTAGCCAAAGGGACAACTAATTCACCATTGATGCTCTCATGATAGTGTCTGTAAATAAGAGATAATTTAAAACGACCAGTTTTAAGGATTACCAGGAACCAATACCCACCTGGCACCATTAGTTATAAATAAGCTTATTTCATCATATCTGATGCTTTTTCAAAATCTTCAAATGTGGAACTTCTCTCCACACGCGTCCGGGTGGCCGGTTGAATGCCCTTCGCTCAAGTGTGGTGGGGGTCCATTTGACACCTGACATCTAAAAAGCTAAGAGAGACAAAGACACCAAGTTCACATGGTTGGTTGGCCTATGTGTGAACTCACCTGTGTCAAAATTTAAGGTTCCTAGATTATGAACTTTGTGTCAAATAAGGTAACACAAGGTCAAACTTCAGACTGGTATCCAAAGAACCCCCCCCCCCCCCAAAGCCCACTACCCACGTTACTACCTAGAACTCAGCTATCTGTTCTAAAAAAGGTAACTGTTGCTCAAGTCAGGTCAGTGACCTTTTTTGTCCTTTTGAAGGTCAAAGACACGTTATTTTGGTCAGCTGTCCGACACTTTGGACGCGAGATGTTATTCCGCGGGGCCATGTGCCGCTCGTCCGGCAGCGGCTCTGCGCACAGACGCCTTGCCAGGCCTGCTGTGCCGTTGCCGATTGTTCTGGCCTCTAGAGAGCGTTTTTATTAAAACCCAGAGCAGGGATGTTGATGAAGGGGCCGTTGCTGAGGGCTGCACCGCCTAACTATGACATCGCACTGCTGAGCGCGGGTGGCCGGCCGGCGCTTGGTGGTGAAAGTACAGCAGCTGCTTAAGCACACTGTTAACCGCGCGCGAAAGATGCGACCGCTTGCAACTGATAGCACTGTAGGAGGGCTGTCAACTGGGGCTGTAACACCCTGCTCAGCCAAATGCTGCTATTTTGTGGGCGTAAGTTCAGTATCTGAGGCCATGAACTGCAAAATCTGGACGCGATGAAATCACACGCTCAAAACCTGTAACAAACGCACAAAAACTGTACTCTTCAACGCAGCGTACATAATTTGTACAGCCATTTTTCTATCATGACCTTAGAAAGGGTTTATAGACATTGAAAGGATGAGATGCAAAAACGCATTTCCTGGCAATCCATGCTCCGAAACTGCGCATCAGATTCTTGCAAAACCTTCATATTACATACGATCAATTCAAAACCAACTGATTTTAGTAAAGTGGACCTATTTGTCACTTTTAGGGCTGGTGACCCTGACATCATCCATGGGTCACCAAGTGACTTAAATATTGCTCTCAGACCTGCTGACGGTTCCATACTGTGAACGTACCCGGCCGATTTGCACTAATGCCTGATTGCACGCAACCGTCGTGAACCTAAATATTCGTTCTAAGCAAAAGGTCACTGATTTTCATTCCAAGGTCAGTGACATTTTTTGCCTTTGAGAGGTCATGGAATCCAAAATCATAAGAGATTGCCGTGATTCCTGCACTTGAAAAGGCATTAGAGGTTACGCCATGCGATATATTTCTTAAAAACAAGATGTTGGTCTGGATCTTTTTAAGCCAGTGACCTACTCTTAGCTTTAGGAAGTCAGTGGTAGATGTCTGTGCGGTTCCTGTTATTAATGAATTCGAAATGAGGACCAGAAACTACCTCATACGGCAAAAAAGTATGTTGGTTTTGACTTATGTCTGACCTTCATACCTGACTAGGTCAATGAAATTGGTTGTAATCTTAACTCAAGTTGCTTCGCTGCCTAAAAAACTACTTCAGAGCTGAATGGCTTTGTATAACACCCCGTTGTCGCACCAGAATGCACAATTCCCCAGAAATTGTCTTCGCTTACGGTTACAGCCTGGCTTTGAACCGTCATAGGTCAGCGACCATATCTCCTATTCAACAGCCTACAGTTGAGCAAGGTTTGGTGCGGCCGCGCCGCACCGTTCGGAAATCATTCTGTGTTTTGGCAATCAACTTGATCGCACCACCTGGGCGCGTGTTAAAAACAAGCCTCGCTACGAAGATGGGTGCAATGTCAGTGAACGCCATGCATGTTACGATTCATTGTTGGCAAAGTCATCCATGTTATGACACAGGGCAAATATGGGCGTGAGCGACGACTCTGTAGCGCGTACGCCGACGCAATAGCCAACGTCTCGTGTGTGGTCATATCGTCAGCACCACGTCTTTCAGCTGTCTTTTCGCATTTGAGGACGTTTGAGCCAGACATTCAGGGTGTTCTCGAGGTTGTCGACTTGTCCCAACAATCAAGATGTCATAACTTGTCAGAATTTGAGCGTCCTACATCATCCAGATCATGTAATCAGACGCCAGACATGATCCAGGTCCAGACGTCTGGTGTCTGATTCCTCTGATTCCACCATATACCGTATGGTGTCATCGGCTAACTTTTTTTAGGGGGGGGGAGGGGCGCAGATGATATGATGAATAACGTGCTATTCAAGGCGGATGTGTTGCCCCTGGCGCTGTAATTACACCTGGCCGATGTTAGGCCAAATGAATTCGAGCACGGTGTACTGCTTCAATTTTGATCACATTTAGGTGGTGTGTAATGCATACTGACTGCCTGGCGCGGATTCAGAAGCAATGGGGATTTGTTTTTGCTGACTGGGGGTGACCATGAATCAGAACAGAATGAACAACCATGGTACCAATGCGATCCTACTTATTACTGATACAGGTCATCGAACTTCCTCTATTACAACTGCGTGCAGGCGATACATATCGCATACGCAAATTACATTCTTCGCGCAGAGGCGACGCCAGGCAATACAATGGACGAGCGAAGACTGGCCCTTTTGTTGACATTGACTGTTGAATAAAGTTGCTATGGTTCCCCCACTCTGGCTGCTGGCACACGTATCTGTGTTGCCACCGATGTTCCAGAAACTTTTAATGGTATGAATAGAGGTGGTGGGCTGGTGTTCATGGACCGTCGACATCGAGTCCATGTGCGGGCTTAGTGGATCGCAGTAGTTGTTACCTATTTGCTATATCGTGTGGTGTCTTTCACAGCCTGCTGTAAACCAGGGCATTTAATCGTCGTAGCCCTGCTCGCGCCGAAGAAACACATAGCCTAGTGACAAAGGGTGTAGTTCCCTGTTCAGTTTGGGGGCTTTCGCCGATCATCTTTGGCTCCCCCCCCCGCGTTGAGAAGAGAGTGGTGTAAAGCCGGCGATAAACCTTTCCTTGATGTATTTTGGAGGTTGATTGTGCATTTGTCACCGCTCAGCTCCCCAATTCATGTTGCCAAACTACACCTCTGCTAATAACGTACGCTCCTTGATTTGTGTAATTTTGTCAGCCCTGACCGCCCTTTGTATTTGTAGACTATAGGTCATGATAAGGTCCAGATATAGGTCATATGTCTAGATAATGTCATGTCCAAGGAACCTCAGATTTGGAAACACGTGAGTTCATGTACAAGTCAACACACCTTGTGATGAGATCTCTGGGCGTCAACTTGACCGCCCACCCGAGCAAAGGCATTCAGCCGGCCACCCGGGCGCGCGTTAATTAGCACCGATGATAAGACAGTAGGTACATTATGTCACTCACTGATAATCGCCTTAATGTACCGATGTGGGCGTTATAGCCTGTTCTCACGATCATGCGGGCACAGGCTTGTCCATACATGAGATGGTCAGCAAGTTTTGATTTCATGTCTTAGTGGCCTCACATACTTCATTGGCTTATGTAATAACTTAAGGCAGCTTTTTGTAAGTTGCTCAGTGCATTAGCGGGGAGCATCATTCACAAAGATAAGACAGTAGTAGTAGCCTTATTCCTCGGAGAAAACCAGGAGAATAGAGATATAGTTAAGTTAATATTTCGGCAACATGCCGTTATCGAAACAATGGCAGAAGCTGTTTGTTTGCTTCGATAAAGCATGCTGCCAAAATATCCACCTAACTATATCTTCATTCTCCTATTTCCTTCTGATGAATAAGGCTAGTACTACTGTCTTATCAGTTTTTGTGATCCTACATCACACATGAAATATGGCTGTCTGTTTTGGGTTTGTTAGTGAACATTTCATAGCAATCGATGTTGTGGTGGTGGGCAACGGGCTAGTCAGCAACTACAGTCAGAAAAGCAGACCATCTCTGTGTTAGGGCTGTTTTTGCATAATATTACAGGGAAATACATAGTCTATCAACATCACAACTTCCGTATTCAAGAAATACTTTAAAACATTCCATGAGAACATTCGGTTTAGGGCATAAGTCACATGCAATCTAAGTAACGAATTCCGAGCATTCAACTGGCTATGGCTCTGGCTTCATTTCGATGGACGCAATTTTTAATGCAAGATGAGTACTATCCACCCCGGCTAATACCACGACCGTGATGCGTGTGGCTAACAATGCCAGCACCTGTTATAGGACGCACACTTATGTCCAGTGCGCTCTTTCGCAAAGACAACCTGTTTATGGATGGTGATTTTATCACGTCACCAGCAGGGGGTCACTCTGTGCACCTTGGGAGGGGCCCGGACCCTTCCGTTAGTGACTTTAGCCGCACGATCCCCTCTAAGATTGCCCTCAATGCATTTGAGCAAAGAGGACCACAACAATGGAGATAGATTATTTTAACTATTAGTACACTAACTGCCTAAACGTTTCTCGATAAGCATGATGTTTATTTTGACGAAACAGTGTACTGTACGTACCCGATATTTCTCTCATGCCAACTCTTTCATAAGGTATGTACTGACCTCTGCTATTGTTTCGATAGATGCATGATGCTGAAATATCGACCCATCTATATCTCCATTCACCTGGTTTTTCTCCGAGGAAGAAGGCTATTACTACTGTCTTATCTATGTGAATAATGCTCCTCGCTTATGCACTGAACAACTTACGGAAGATATGTACGTCTGCAAATGTATGACAAGCTCTCACACGACAACAACTGGATTGGGATAAAGAGCAAATGACTACAAATTCTGGAGCTTTGAAAAGTACATGAAAACTCAAGTAAAATGAATTAATCAATGTTACCCTACACAGTGGTAAGTATATTTGTCGCTCAATCGCGACTGTGGTGTCATTTGACTGCCATTTGAATGGTGAGTCACGATTAGCACCGGCGCTGGTCATCACTGATCCCACACCCATCAAATCGTTACAATAAAGGGTACCAATTTGAGCGATCAAGGAAGCAACAGTATTATTTTTATATGTGGGATCATCGTGGCAGTGTGCTCTTTGCATAGTCTTTTGTTCACGCGTGTCAGGCCACGCCATTCTGCATAAATTCGTCTTTTTGTGCCTCGGGTCACTTTGATGAACGATAAATGTCACATCTTTCGAAACTCACAATGGGGCAAACCATGAAAATATTCCTTTTCTGTGAATTGAACCTCCGTCAATCTTTTTATATAAACACGGTTTCACGTCGCCATGAAATGGACGGTTATTATTCCCAAAAACAAAATCGAACTGACGAGACATCGTTATAGACTTTATATTTTAACACCAGGAACGCAAAATCAAGTGGCTGAAATCCCAGGATAAATCAGAGTTTGGGGTGGATTACGTGGACCAGATCGGCTCAGCCCTTCCACCACCAACCTGATTTTAAAAAGAGACGCCCCTGCTTACCGGTGTTGCCAAGCCGGTTGTACTTCATCTTCCTGACGGCAGCTTCATCGTGGAAGCCGGCCACGAATGTTTCTACCACGTCCGCCATGCCGGCCTTCTTTCGTCTGTTCTGCAAGATATATTTATTATACATCCGCTGATCCAGTGAAAGGTGTCAGGTCATATGGCATGTCGCATGTAATGAGACACATGGTTATCCACTGCATTTCCTCGAGCTCCTAGCTGTCCGTGATAAAGTGAGCAGATGTTTGCTCATTCGCTCGTAATGTAAACTGGCGTCTTTTAACGTTGCATCCTCTCTCACAATGTCGTTCAATGCACGACTCACTCCTAGCCGAAGCGCAAACCGCCACTGCATTATCATACATCTGGCTAGGACATCAGCCAGTATCGCGACATAGTTTGAGTGCATTCCTTAGCTCTCAAGGGTCATGGGCACCAAGCGCTGCCGACTCATCTGATTGGCGCTCCCTCCTCGACTGCGGAGTTCTGGTCCGCTTCAGACCGCCCATGACTCACCCGTCTGCACTGAACGCCGGCCGTCTCTCGGTGCGGTCAGGAGCCTCCGCTGCCGATGGGCGCACTGGCTCCACTATCAGCCGCTGGTGTGTCGTTGCCGACTGCGGGCCGTTTCTCGGTCGGTTCAGGAGCCTCGGCTGCCGATGGGTGCACTGGCTCCACTATCAGCCGCTGGTGTGTCGTCACTGGCCGCGGGCCGTCTCTCTGTCGGGTCAGGGGCCTCGGCTGACGACGGGCACGCTGGCTCCACTATTAGCCGCTGGTGCGTCGTTGTCGACTGTGGGCCGTCTCTTGGTCTGGTCAGGAGCCTCGGCTGGCGATGGGCGCACTGACTCCACTATCAGCCGCTGGTGCGTCGTCGCCGGCTGCCGGTCGTTCGTTTGTTCGCACCGTCGAGCTTGCCGGGCGTCCGCTCCTCTCCGTACGTGCGATCGGCCTTGGATGCGGGCGCCGCCTAGACGGCGGCTGGTGCGTGTCGCTGACGTGGGCCACAGGGCGTGTGAAAGGTGCAGACGATAGCGGCTCTACCGAACACTGTAATAGTGGTGTTTATTGTGGAGCATGCGGCGGGATAGTGGCCCTACCGAGCGCTGTACTAGCGATGTTTATAGTGGAACATGCGGCAGGATGCACATGACCTCGGATATCAGACGCGGGCCCAACCGTACATGAATGTTTTTGTTTGAGTTGGGGTGTATGGGGGGGGGGGGGGGAGGAGGGTAAGACGAATAATTTGGGGGATTGCTAATAGGATATTATGGATTGTGCTTTTACGTCTGTCCCTAGTTGTAATGATATCTATCTCCGCTTAACTACCCAAATACGAAGAGAAGGCAGATGTACTTATTTCCCCCCTTCTTTCGCTCATTAGTTGCTTCTGAAAAGAAAGAACATACGAAGTGCATTATGAACAGTTCGTGATGTGGCCAAAACGGCAGGGATGAAAAAACTGAGTTATGGTCGGTGACAAAAAACGGATACTTTTGCGAACTATTTAGTGACAAAATTGCGAAATCGGAACAAATTACAACAAACCACCTCAGACGAAACTTAAAACTAAGTATTGGTCTGCACGCGCTAACGCTTGCGGCGTGAACTTGTGTAGAGCACATGTAGAAACATTGTCGTTCCACTGTGGGCGAGTTAAACCGCAAAATGCCTCCAAACATCGTAACTTTAATCCGAATAGTTTAAACAGATGATAGAAACGTACTGCAAACTATACTATACCAGTGCTGACGTCGCAGATCAGTGGTGCCACCGCCATTTTACAATTTCCTCAGATCAGCGCTTTCCACAGATTTTGCAGCCAAAATTCAATGCACATACTGAGCACTATAAAATACCAAACGACAAGGCATATTTTTAGTCGTAAGCAACGTGGCTCTCCTAAGTACCCTGCGACACGCGGCGTTTTAAGTCGGCCCGCTATTTAAGACTATTGGCTTTGAGTGGAGGTCACGCGGCTGCGATTTCGGCTCAGGGTAAGGCTGCAGGACTGTCTCTGGTTGTGCTCGTGTCATGAGAGGTTCATCAGCTTGAAATGCGTAGCTAATAGTCAGCCTCTGTACGATGCTGTACGACTCTTCTAAGGATCTACCATGTGGGGCGTCCCTGGTAGTAGCGTTAGAAAGACCCGCCGATCTAGGAGGCTCGTTGTTTGCGGATACCCGACCATACCTTGAGAGGTCAACGGAGGACGTTGAAGCGATACATGTCAAGGATTTATCTGGGGCTTCCTGCTGCTAAGAGGAACGACGGCTTTAGACTGTGGCGGAACCAGGATTTCGTCAAGGAGGGGGGGGGAGCACCTAACAGCGTGCGCCCCCCAAAAAAAAGAAATGCTCGTACTCCGACCATTACATTCCGAAATTATCATGCATGCTATTTCTATACGAGAAGCCGACATCTCACCGTGCGCAGCCATAGAAAATTAGGAGTGCTACGTTTGCACATACATGGGGGCTATTTGTTTCCACCAGCGCATGGTGGATCCCATTACTATGAGGCAGCATTCCGAAAAAAACATTTCAAAATCAGCTAAAGTTGGCTTCAAAATACCATCAAAATCTAACACGAGCTTGATTATCCGCTTATTTACGGCTAGCCGGCTAGTCGATGTGATCAGCTGGTGACTGACGGCTAATGCATTGTTTTTTTTATTTTCCTGTTATAAAAGAGTACAACATACCCTAACATCAAAATGCGTCAAGAATGTGATGCAGAAGCATAATAAGGTGTCACAAGCTCAATAACCACCGGAAATGATATACGAAGCCAACGGCGCGTAAAGTTTTATTCGATATTTGCGCGGAAAATTCAGTTGTGCATAAATGACCGCTGCTCTAAGAATAAGACACCAAGAGAAACTACCACTGTGTAGTAGCCTCGGACTTATGTAGATACATTAATTGAGGTAGACCCGTACGCACCAGCAGCCTTATCGGAAGAGCTCACGACCAATGACGAGGGCCCCGGAGCCCTCATCATTTATTTGGTGATTTCAACTCCACTTAATACTATGCTACATTATATATTTACAAAGCCTCAGCAAACTTTAAGGACGTGATCCTTTGCTGACTTGATTCTAGGATAAATTGTGGGTGAATGACACATATATCAAGAGCTGGGAATATCCGTCTTATAGAGCTCTTGTTTAATGCGAGGGCATTAGACATCCACCGTCAGAACAAGTGAATGGAATTCCAAGTTTGAGCTTCTGAAATAATAACTCAACCTGTTTCTCACAAGATAATGTAGCGTCGTGTCCAGACGAAGGAACATGTGTCCACATTGTTAAATTTCATCTATTCACTGCCGAGAGAAAATGATGAGCCCCATTGCGTCGGGCTCAGGCATCGGATGTGGCACTTGGACGCGGATTACCAAGACCCTGGCATGGGCCAGATCAACAGTGTTGCACCTGATACCACCTACCCCCTGTTCGGGCCGACGAGGTCGATGAGTGACCTGGTCCAAAACCGCAGCACCACGTTGCCCACGCGGTCAGCAGCCTAGTTCCCATGATTGAAACTGGCATCACCCAGTCCCCAGTGTATAGGAGGGCTTCGCTTTCGTCGTACAATACGTGCACCTCTGGATTTTTGAAGAGTGGATAAAGATCTGGCCGGAAGACGCGTGTGCAGCAGCTGCTGGCCTGGCTTTGGGTCCTCGATGGGGCGGGTCTCGTTGATACGCTTGAGATCAGAGGCCGGCAGACTGTGCACAACCCCCAGCGCTTCCAAATAGCGATCAGCTTCGCACACGACCCCCTAAGGTCTTCTGAACCTCTCCGGCACGTCGTACAGTCGCACCCAAATGTTCGGCCTCCTCTGGGGCGTCAGTTGGACGGGCGTGTTCGCAGCGAGTCCAGCGACCATAAACGCTCGCCCCAGGCGCAGCAGGGCGGCGCCCAGGGTAACGCCCGATGTTCGGCTCTGGCCCAAACGACGCCAGGGACGAATGGTCGACGAATGAATGGCGTTTGACACATTCGGCCACGGGTGGTGGTCGTGCAAATGGCTTGCCTCTCTTAGCCCATACATGGTGATGGGTCTTTGTTGCCCAACGCCTTTTGTCATGTGGGGTTGTGAGCGGCGCTCACCCCGTTCGTTCGTTCGTGGGGTGCGTTTGTTCTTATGAGGCCTTTTGGCATGGTAGACTCCGGATGGAAACCCGTTCATTCGTCAAACATGCTGAAAGTCCCCTCGTTCATCCTAATGTCTGCGGTGGAAACAGAAGGGCGCAGAAACCGGTGGGCGGGACGGTCCCAATCACTGGAAACCCTATCATTTACCCCTACAGGACAGGATGCAAGTTCAACAATAGCCCCCTGGTGTTGCGTGGTAAGTATGAAATCAAAAATATGTTTTTCTGCAACACAACTTGATGGAAGTTATGACGTCCATGTGATGCTTTGGACACCATGAGCTCTGGGATATGAGGTTACGCTAAGCAATGCTCCTTGCGTCAGCCGGAACCCTAACAGCTGATGATGCAATTCCAGATCAACGGCAGAATTTGGCGGTTAAGGTTTAACGTGTCACAATGCTTGGCATGGTCCGTCCTGCCCTCTGGTGTCATCTGTGCTTTAACGCGACCACTGCCACCGACCGCAGGCCTTATCTGTCAAGGATAAATAGCGAGCGGGAAAGCGACTCGAATTCCCACCCTGCACGGATGAGTGGATCGGAAGGCAGGTAGGTAAGTTTTCAGGAAAAGCTGACGTGGTCTAACAGGGTAAAGTATTGACCCGGTAGCATGCAAGTTATTGCCAACTGCGAAATTTTGTTGTAAAAATGTTAAAATATGGAAACGTTGCCCAGCCACTGCTATTTTTCCGCGAGGCCTATCTTGCGTATTTTGGAAACGCCAGGGGTATCGCCCCCCCCCCCTCGTTAGTCTGCGTCAAAGCGGCAAATCAGTACAAGGGGTAAGCGCTTCGCAGCTTGGCGCCAGCATCTCCCATCCCTGTGTCGGACTTGCGGCCTCTTCTGCGTTGGGCACGCGGTCGCTCCAGCGCCGAACACGCACCGACTCCAGTGTTGGACACGCGGCCTCTCCTGTGTCGGACATGCGGGCTCTCTTTTGCCGGACATGCTGCCTCTCGCGTGCTTGGCACGCGGTATCTCCAGTGCCGAATGTGCATCCACTCCAGTACCGCACAGCCGCTCCTGTGCCAGACACGCAGCCTTCCCTGTGCTGGAAACTCGGGCCCTAGTGCGGGACGGCTGCTCCTGTGTCGCACACGCTGCCTCTCCTGTGCCGGACACGCAGCCTTCCCTGTGCTGGGAACTCGGGCCCTAGTGCGGGACGGCTGCTCCTGTGTCGCACACGCTGCCTTTCCCGTGGCCGACGGCCGTCCCTGTCTCTGGCACGCTGCCCCTCCTGTGCCGGAAAACCGCCCGCTCCTGTGTCGAACATTCGATAATCCCAGCGCTCAAAACAGTGGTGCTCCAGTGACTGGCTCCCCACCACTGCAATAAGGTACTGGCGCCATGTGCTCTGGTAAGATGCAGAATATTATAATGGCACATTGCGTGTTAATACGGTGAATATTTCGCGCCTTGCTCTATTTTTTTTTACGAGGTCGTGACATGTAGCCATTAACACGCACCCTGGTGGCCGGCCAGATGCCCTTCGCTCGTGGGGGGGGGGGGGGGTCAGGTTGATCCCCTAAGATCTCAGGATTTAAGAAAAATAGAAGCGCCAAATTTACAGGGTGTGTTAATCTGTACGTGAACTCACTTAGGTCAAAGTTTCAGGTTTCTAGGTCATGACCTTCGGGTCAAAAAAGGTAAAACAAGGTCAAGTTCCAGGTTGGTCTCCAAAGTGCCCCCAGAACGTGGATAACTGTTTCTCTAAGCAAAAGGTCACATTCTCATATAAGGTCAGTGACCTTGTTTGACCTTTTGATGGTCAAGGCGACAAAAATCATACAAGATTGCTTTAGGTTTTGCATTTGACTAAGCGACAAAGATTACGCTAGGCAGTATGTTCCTAAAATAAAATGTTAACCTGGGTTATTTTAGGTCACTGACCTATTCTGACCTCTGAGAAGTCAATGGAAGATTATAGTGGGGTTCCTGCTATCAATATATTCGAAATGAGCACCAGAAACTATCCCATACAGCAAACTCTAGAGTAATAAAACAAGTTGGTTTTAACCTTAGCGCGACCTTCATACCTGACCTTAGGTCAATTTAATTTGCTCATTTAAATGTTGTGTTGCCTAAGACAGCACTTCAGATATGTTTGGCTTCGTCTAACACTCCGTTGTTGGATCAGATTGAAGGAATCCCTAGAAATTGCCTTCGCTGAAACCACGGCCTGACTTTGACCTGATCTTTGGTCAGCGACCTTACAAGGTACATCTAAATTTGTGATGCCAAACGATCCACTATTCAACTGCCTACAGCCATGCACAATTTGGCGCGGCTATGTCGCGCCGTTCAGAAACCATTCTGGAAAAAACCTGCGGGGAGGGGCAATTTGATCCCCACCCCACCCGAGCGCGCGTTAAGTCATAGGCCCATAACTGGAATACAAGATGTTCTGCGTGTCAATATGCCCGTAAAAGGGTAGCAAGCCAATGCTGTGGGCAGTTATGAAGTGCGCTCCCAAAATGCTACTTTAAAAAGTCGCGATTCTGGTCTATGGGCGGCGCTGAAATCGAAATTGTTGCTGATCGTCATGTAACGAAATAGTCACAGCGTCCGAAATCCAAAATAACCATCCAATTTCGGTAAGCACGACTGGTTACGTGGACATTGACCAGCTATTCAGGCCATCAAATAGGCCATCTACTGTCGGCTTTCTGGTTAGTTCTTCTGGATTGGGAAGTACAAATTCCCCAGACGCCTCTGTAAATGCTAAAAATCTGAATCTTAGGCAGTATAGAAAACTATGAGATTTATTTCCGACACTGCAGATATAGGCAGAGGCCATAGCTGTGATGCAAAACAACACAGCAATTCTTAACGTTGGGTCACGGAGTTTGTAACATGAAAAAGTGTAGAACTAGTAGTAAAGTAGTGAAGAGTGATTTTTATGGATGGATTAAACCCGACAGCAGTACTTTCTCCACCAGCATTGCCCCAGTATGCCGTGAGATAGTGCACGGGGTTTGTCACGTGCCATTTATGGTTGCGATACGGCCGCTGACCAAGCATAGTCGTGCCTTTCTCCGCACTTGCGACGCCTCAGGCTTAAATCGCACTGACTGTTCACTGACGTCCCGCTGTACCAGCCCATAACGCGCTGAGACCTTCGGCTTAACCACAGGGACTTTTGGCACGACCAGCAAATCGTATTCAAGTGCAAATGAACCACACGATGATGGTGATATTCATGACGCAATGTTTTCCATTCGCTTTTGTTTGTGCGGTTTATTGCATTAGCAGTATGTTGTAAAGCTGTCCGATATTTTGGGCTCTGTGTACCAATTTTGGCCATTTAAAGTTTTGTCGATAGCATCAAGGACACCGTTTTCACCCCTGCAAGACGGTCCCCGATTTTGACGCGGCAAGATCCTTGTTCGCCGCGGGTGGTTTAATGATTGGCACACAGATTCCAGTTCGGCCTAAAGGGCCCTTGCGTGAAGTGGGATGGAAGGCCCCACATTCGATAATGGGGGTCTTGACTGACACGTGACCCTTCCGTTGCCTCATTGTGGACTGTCGTCATAAGCCATCGAGTCTTCTTCCATCGCCAGAGGGCCTCGACCAACGCAATAGTCCCTCTGGCATTGGGGCCCCGTCCCCGTCCCCGTTCAGCCAATGCTCCTCTGATCGACTCGGGCCCCTTGCCATCGCAGACCCCCTGTTAGGTACTATAAGCTCCTGGGTTCCTCAGTGTTGCAGGGGCCCCAAACCAGTGCAAGTCGCGGGCCCTGGTCTCGTCCCTTATTGGGAAATGGTGCCCCAGGGCTCAGACCGACCCGAGTCGACAGCTCAGTGTTGGTGGCCCCACGGCCAAAACAGAGGCACGCACTCCAATCGGAGATCGGAGAATCGGAGATCCCCAATCGAAGCAAGGGGCCCTCTGAGTGTCATTTGAGGCGCTGAGCCTATAGGCCGCGGTCCTCACAGGGAATGTCCCACATTTGTACTGAAATAACTCGAAGTGAAATAGCCATCTTGAAGCTCGTTCGGTGCCGTTGGTGCTCGGGGAAGGGCAAGGTTCACATCCCCTGCCGTTCTTGAGACCCAAAACCCTTTAGTTTATGAGCTAAATGCCCGCGAATATGTGCAGACTATTCATGCAGGCTTTTGTCAAGGCCATTCAGGCATGCATGGCGCCATAGAAATGTCCTTCAAATCCTGTCACCTCATTTGTCATGCGGCGTTCAAGGTCAAGAAGAATACAGTCGTTGAGTCGTTCGCATCTGGCATTCGTGAGCAGGGTTTCCAGATATAACGGACATCATTTGGCTTTAAATCGGTGTTGCGCAAGCTGTGCGGGAGTGCAAGTTCAAACGGGAATCACGTGTTGTGCTACATACTACAGTAAGTTGAACGTGGTTACCAGTTATTACGGAAATAAGACTTGCTATCGAATAACTTACGAATTGCGCCATGGCCGACTGTGTGAAAAGGAGTGAAGGATTAAGCTCACGGGTAAATATGCGAAAATACCACGAGAAATGGACCGAACAAGAGCACATTGCCATGTTTAGTTCAACGAACACGTCAAGCACGGCCACGGTGTCACAGGAACCTCTCGGAAGATTGAAGTTCGAAATTGAAGGTTTAAGTCCAGATCACAAGTCTGTGCTCGGGTGACAATTTCGTACGGCCAGTTTGGCAGCACCTCAACGTCATGCAAGCCTTCCATGATGCAATCAAGCAATGACATATTGAGCGCCATGTGTACAAGTATATACAGGTTAAGTCTATAACAGCGTTATCTAATTGAAAACATAGCAATATCTATGAGTGAATTTATCATCATATCTGATGTTTGCTTCAACATCTTTGCACATGGAGCATTCCTTTCAATTTGTTTTATAGCCGGCCCTTCAGGACCTCCAGGTCCTTCATCGTTCCAGGCGTGCCCTTGACCGTCGGTCCCGACATGGGCGCCTCGTCAGGCTACCTCAAACACTGTCCCTGACCGCTGTGGTGCGCCTTCCCACGGGACCCCTCGTTAGGCACAGTAAGCCCGCGGCCGACACCGGCGTCCCTCACTGACTCAGTGATTCCGACCAACGTAAATCGCGGGTCCTCGCCTGATTTTTACTAGGGTAATGGGGCATAGCCCTACATGCCCAAACCGACACGAAGCTGGCTTCCTGGGTGCTGGTGGTGCCTGACCGAAATATAGGCCGTTTTCAATTCTGGGGCCTCTCAGTCTGTGCAAAGAGCCTTTCCGACTGGCGTTTGAGGGACCGGTCCGCAGGGCCGGCCCCTCAAATCCCTTCCTTCGGGCCGCTCCAGACCTAAGGGAGGGGCGGACGTGCCCCAGCCACCGCTCGCCCGGGTTACGCACTGGTTACGTTCGGCGAAATCCTGCCATTTTCGTGGTCACGCTATATTAAGGGCAACGACCCTCCAAAAAGTCTCTTGAGCCCTAATTGATCTAGACATGCGAAATAACGGGCGTAGTGTTAGTACAAATAACTTGCGCGCTGCTGTTGCGCTCCATCCCTCTCCTCATCTCCCGTCCCCATGTGTAACATATTTATAGACGGCACGTGATTGACACGTGGTATCCATACCAATGTCCTGCCAGCTTGGCGGGGCTACGCGTTCACGGAAGATGTCGCTACTGATATCAATTACTCCTCTGACAGCCGGAATTCTATCAGTTTTATGAAGTGTCTTCTGTAACTTTGTTTTGTGCTCGTAAAAGTTAACAGTTGACCAACATGACTCCACCGTACAAAAAGAAAAGTAAAATAAACTACTGCTAAGGGAAATGGAAGCTCTAAATGTGACGCACAGGTTTCGGTTTATGACGCATAGGTCACTTTCATACAGAGACGCCGTGGCAAAAGTGGGTGGGTCCGGTCGCCGTGGGACTTCTCAGCGCTGGCTATTTGCGAAACTTGCGGCGGAGGGGTGCGGTTGGTCTGGTGTGAGCCAGTGCAAGTGTGATTCACCTTCATCTTAGACTTCTGAACTCTGAACGGTAAGCATTGTCGCCACTGATTGGTGCCTCTGGAGCAGTGCGCACGCGGTGGTGACAATTCGGATTTCTCAGGAGAAATTGGGCTTAGGATAGGTAGGTATGACTTGTTAAATCGGTAGCCTTTCAGGCTTTTGCAGGGTGTGCGATGGATACTGCTTCCACAGACAGTGTGAAATGTTGGAGAAGTGGCGCCTACTCCTGTCTGGAATCACCCAATTTTGAAAAGATGCCAGGGAAGACTTGCTATGTAGAATGCCTGCCTGTTGGTTGGGATGTTCCTGTGAGCACAGTGCCCCACTGGGAATTATTAAATTATTTCATGACAATCTTATGTGATACAGCATGCATATGGATTGGTCTATAAAAACCCATGCACTTCGTCTAATGCCTATTTAACATAGGTGCCCTAAACCCAGTGATGGGCATTTCAGATTCAAACCATGCTGTTTTGTGCTGGAAGTTGAAGTTTTTTAATGTGAAAAATGTTATCTGGTAGTTTTGCCTGGAATTACCTTTAAACATCTGAACTCACTGAAATATTTATGTTTACACCCTAAAAATGGTGGTGACCACACACTAAAATGCGACAACTCATTTTTTGCATACAGGAGCTGGCATTGTTGCTACACTTGCTGTTCTGTGGGAAATGTTAAGTGCAAAACATCAAATGCATTCTGGTATATTAGAAGGTGTTGACAATGACAGAGTTTGGAGGAACATGAAAACAAGTGATTGGAAGTAAGATGCTGGTATGTGTGATGCCAAGCAATTTCCATGCCCAGGCATGTTTGATTTTGTCTTTAAAGGAATTATGAATTACAACCATGCCTTACAGTGAAACTTTGCATGTGGGTGTAGGCTCATTGCACATGCTTATTTCAAATCGTTAGATGGTGGAAGGGTCTTCAAGATACCTTGTCTGTAGCTGTAACCATTTTTAGCAAAAAATGATTGTATCACTAAATCTCATAATAAGACTGATTCATCCTTGATATAAAAAGCAGCTTGTTAGCTGTGCAGTCTAGAGTTGGCAGTCACTGTATCACTAAGTCTCATAATAAGACTGATTCATCCTCAATATAAAAAGCGGCTTGTTAGCTGTGCAGTCTAGAGTTGGCAGTCACAGTTAAAGGGTCCCATTACCTTTGCCTGGTTTTAAATAATGTTTTCAGGATTAGGAAACATCTAGAACATACCTGTAGTATTTGTGCTGGATAGATATCAAGTCAAATGAAGTGTGAAGGCTGACTGTTCAAAACAGGTCTGCACCACATATTGATTCAAGTACTAATGGTTTGTGTTCCGCAGTAAGGTATATTGATAACTGGGATGTGAGAATATGGTGAGAACAATAGACTTCAGTTGAGCAGTTTTACCCATTTTGTATTCAGTGACTGTTTATTTTTGGTCACATTAGGTGGCACAGAAAATGTGGAGATCTTTACCCTCTTCTATAGTAGGTGTCAATATGCATGTGACTCCTTATCCATGACATGAGAAACAGGCATCTTGGAGCATGTGTCACTATAAAGTATTTGAAATGGGTCCATGGGCTTAGGCCTCTGTCTTTGGCCTCTACACAGACAAAAAAAAATAAATAGAAGTAGTCAATAGTATGTTCATGTTAGCAATCAGGTGGTCAAATTATGATGATGAATCAGGTTTTGCACAGGCTTGCTTTTGCTCCATACTCTGAACTTTGCTACCTTTCTACTGTTCCTAAACTAGTGGCTTATTGATGGTATCACACACTTTGTAGCACCTCAAATGTTTCTTTTGTTTTAGGCCAAAATGAGCAGCAAGAAAGGTGTGGCCCAGCCTGCACTGCACAAAGTGATCATGGTTGGAAGTGGAGGAGTTGGGAAGTCAGCACTCACTCTGCAATTCATGTATGATGAGGTACGTTTTGTGTTGGTGAATGGAGTATGAAATAAGAATTTAGGTGAGTGACACTGTGTTGGCTACTGGGCCATTTTTCTCTTCAATATGGGATAATTGTATTGCATATATATATATATATATATATATATATATATATGTCATTGTTCACCTGATAATCACAGGGATTTTGATTTCATATGATTGAATGCAACCTGTAAACTGTTTTGCCATTCCACAAATGAAGACACAAACTTCCCACCATTTGTTGTTGATGTATGCCTGCCAATTAAAAATGTTGTTGACACATGTAAATGCTCTGCATTTTCAGTGATGAAAGGTATCCTCAAGTTATGTTAGGTTTGAATGATCTAGCTATGAAAGCAGAGGCATACAATCATCCCTAACATCACCACAGGGGACTTAAACATAGAAGTGTGTGTGCATCTGTGTGTACTGCAGCCCACCTAGCCCAGCCTATTCCTCTTATTCCTTGTCAGTTGTAGGAAGGGCACTATTATCCTGTCACATTGCAGCCAGTTGGAAGGTCTGCGTTGCTCGAAGGCTTGTCTGTACAGGCCTTCACACCCTCGGACGTATGACGCCCACCGTGCCTGTTGCAGTTTGTGGAGGACTATGAGCCAACCAAGGCGGACTCGTACCGCAAGAAGGTGGTCCTGGACGGCGAGGAGGTGCAGATCGACATCCTGGACACGGCCGGCCAGGAGGATTACGCCGCCATCAGGTGCGTGACGCGGTGCTGAGCGGCCGGGCCTGCGGCGACGCTTCCACTGCGCAGACGAGACTTCCGTCCGCGTTTTAACGCGGCGCGATCGGGGTTGTGAGGATTCCACGCGCAGGCGCCTCGTGAACAAGGCGAGAGGGTGCCGAGATCACGGGGGTGGCGTTAGGGTATGGAACAAGGAGGATAACGCGGCTGGCTGCGGTGATTATTACATTCGGAATCGAAGGCGTTTTCGGGGGCCGCAGGACTTCATGGCAGCATCACGACGTCGTGTCGGGTGGTGTTATCGCGTGTGAAGCTGACCGCAGCACGTGTCCACCCGTCTTCACCGTGAAAGCGACGTCGGCCGCCAGTCTCGGGTCCGGGGCGTCGCACTGCGCCCTGGACCGGCCGACCGAGCCGCTCATCGATGGTGCTCTGTGGTCAGTCGCATCCTGTCGCCGGCGGGTGGCGGGGCTGCGCGCCGCGGGGGCCGCAGGTCCCAGGGCTGGTTTCGAATTGATGATTCGTTCGTTCAGAGCCTGTGACGACACGGCTATGAGGCGTGTATCTCATGGTGTGGAGAGGCGGCGGCTATAGCTCTCCGGCGGGAGGGTCGGCCGGTTTTACGCGATAAGGCTGCGGGTCACTGGGCTGTGCTGTCATGTCTACCACCGTTTTGACGCACATCTTTGACTTCCCATGCAAAGACGTGGTCTGCCTGTAGCATGCCGTGTCGCGTGGCCGGTACCACCGAATATCCAGCAAGGCACGGGGCTTTGAATCGTACTGCTTCCATTGCTGTCTACGCTTGGTCCCACGGCAAGAACGTGTGAGGCGTTCACGCTGTGTGCTGTGTCTGAGCGGCGCTGTATGGCACGGCGCTGTATGGCGCTGGCCGCGCGTGATCGGTAGGTGTGGACGTGTGCCCCGCCGGGGGCTGGCCGCCGGCCAACAGCAATGTTTGAACAGCATGCTGGGCGTGCGCCTTCGATAGCAGCCGGGCCGGCCGACAGTCGGCACCGGCCGATGCCGTCCCCGGTGCGCAGCGGCCGGACCGATCCGGGCTGCTGGCCGCGGGAGGGGCCCCGGGTGCCGCACGTGGTGGGAGGGAGGCCCGGGCTCGCTGGGCTGTCGAGACTGCTCCACGCTCGGCACGCCATGTTGCGTTGTGGCGTGTCGGGAGGCAGGAAACTGCGGCTGAGGCGGGCGTCAAAGCCGGATCCTAAATAGCTCCAGGTCCTGTTAGCGACATCAGACAATGGCTGTGGAGCTGTTTGTGAGTGACTCGGCCAGGCCGGTTTTCCGCCCGCGATGCACCCTCTACGCTAGCATCGGTAGACGGAAAGCAGTGCACGATCACCTGCCACCGGTGGACTGTCCGCCGAGCCGGGGACCGCGGCCGGTGGACTGTCCGCCGAGCCGGGGACCGCGGCCGGTGGACTGTCCGCCGTGCCGGGGACCGCGGCCGGTGGACTGTCCGCCGAGCCGGGGACCGCGGCCGGTGGACTGTCCGCCGAGCCGGGGACCGCGGCCGGTGGACTGTTCGCCGTGCCGGGGACCGCGGCCGGTGGACTGTCCGCCGTGCCGGGGACCGCGGCCGGTGACTGTCCGCCGAGCCGGGGGACCGCGGCCGGTGGACTGTCCGCCGAGGCCGGGGACCGCGGCCGGTGGACTGTCCGCCGTGCCGGGGACCGCGGCCGGTGGACTGTCCGCCGAGCCGGGGACCGCGGCCGGTGGACTGTCCGCCGTGCCGGGGACCGCGGCCCGTTGGACTGTCCGCTCGTGCCGGGGACCGCGGCCGGTGGACTGTTCGCCTAGCCGGGGACCGCGGCCGGGTGGACTGTCCGCCGTGCGGGGACCGCGGCCGGTGGACTGTCCGCCGAGCCGGGGACCGCGGCCGGTGGACTGTCCGCCGTGCCGGGGACCGCGGCCGGTGGACTGTTCGCCATGCCGGGGACCGCGGCCGGTGGACTGTCCGCCGTGCCGGGGACCGCGGCCGGTGGACTGTTCGCCGTGCCGGGGACCGCGGCCGGTGGACTGTTCGCCATGCCGGGGACCGCGGCCGGTGGACTGTCCGCCGTGCCGGGGACCGCGGCCGGTGGACTGTCCGCCGTGCCGGGGACCGCGGCCGGTGGACTGTCCGCCGTGCCGGGGACCGCGGCCGGTGGACTGTTCGCCGCGCCGGGGACCGCGGCCGGTGGACTGTTCGCCGAGCCGGGGACCGCGGCCGGCAGACTGTTCGCCGAGCCGGGGACCGCGGCCGGCGGACTGTTCGCCGAGCCGGGGACCGCGGCCGAGTGTGAAACGGTCGGTGAGGCAGTGATCCACAGCTGCAGGCCATTCATTGGCTAGCGGTTTCAGTTTGCATAATATTTCAAAATATTCCGCGGAATTAGTAGTGGGCTGGAGCGTTTCAGAACGCTCCCTTCGTGGTCCAGTTTCTTAAATGTGTTACTGACTCTTGTGTACTTACGGATGAATCACTGAATGCCTTGAAGCCAGGATATTTCCGCGGAATTTGTTAGTTCTGTAGTCGTTCTTTATAACATCACGCCGTTTGACGTGAAAACAACGGATATTGGGCTATGCCCCATATGTTCAGTTCTATCGGAGAGGTACTTCCTCGCCGGATATGATGTTTGCAGTCGGTCTGTTAATTTAAGCGGCGTGACCTTCCCACCCGCTCCATGTCAGCTCCACTATCGCTGCTTGCTGGACCGCTGTCAACACAATGGCGGAGTACCGGTGAAACCGGCAGCTCCGACGTGCCATTGACAACACGTCCCACTTACACTTGTGAAAGCGTGTTTGTCGCATACAAAGCCGTCGCCTGGGACGGTTGCGGACACCTGTTCCGGACAGTCGGACAGTACTGACCCCGACGGACAGAACACGCACGGCCAGTCAAAACTGCCCGTTAGGCGGATTGATGTGGGACCGCCGGGCGATTACATAGGAAGGCCTTACGCTCGCGGGCCTCCTTGATATCGCGCGAGATCAACAACATATATATATATATATATATATATATATATATATATATATATATATATATATATATATATGATAAGTCATGATATATATGTATATATATACATATATATATATATATATATATATATATATACATACACATATACATACATACATACATCATATAACGGTCACCCGGTTCCAGGTATATTTTGCAGTGCAACCCCTGTTCCGGACTGTATACCATCCTGTGAACAAGGTCATATTCCAAACACGCCGATGCTTCGAACACTTCCCGTGTGCTTGAATTGTAAGTGGCTAATTCGAATGCCACGTAGAGAGGCGCCCGCTGCGGGGCCGACCTCTCGGTCCGGTGTGCTGGCAGCGTCCGGTCCAGTTTTAGTCATGTCGGCGATGGTCGGCGCGTGCTGCCTGTTGCAGCTAATTGATTCACTTGAGCGAATGTTGGGCCCGGTTTTGACGCGGTCCGGCCTAATGTTATCGTCTGTGAAGACAATGGAAACGCTGCATTTCCTGGTGGTCGGTCTGAGCGGCGGGGCCTCTCGAGCCGACGTTCCACGCTCCACGTTGCCTGACGTCACCACAGCCACCTTGCCCAACACGCCCCATGATGCGGCGGCAAACCGAGCTCGGGGCCTTGTCCGGTGTAAGGGCAGATATTCCACGTTCAGTGGTTTCCCAGCGCCGGGTACTGTTTTAAACAGTAGCGCCGGCCCGCGCGATGTGGCGTGGCGTGGGCGAACGGTGGCGGCCTCTATGTCACGCGCTCTACTGAGTCCGGGGAACGACACCGCGGTAGCCCTGGACTCAGGGGAGGGGGAGAGGCTGCGCTGTGGGGATGGCCGGCCGAGAGACGTGGTCACGACAATTGAATCAGTATGCACGCCGACCCGGCCGCTGCAGCCTCCGCTGCCGTTACCATGGCGACACGGTGGGGAGCGGCGGGCTGGCCCGGGCGGCCCGGCCACCGAGCTGGCTCTTCGCGTACGGAGATCACGTGACCGGTGTATAGGTTCCGACACTATTGCTTGAGATGCACCAGTAGCAGTAGGTGTGGTAGTGTGATGGTGGCAGTACGTGCTGGTTTCCGACTGTTTCCATGAGTGCCATTGGGACCTGTGGCCGGACATGGCCAGTTTCTTTCCCGTGGTGTATTGTCAGCATAATGAGCCCGGACTCGACCCCGTGATCGACTTCATCGACCCGCGCGGTCGATTCGTTCGAGACTGGTGCTGACAGTGAAGACAGCAGCACAATGCGGAAGCTGTGGATGCTCCAGTAACGACCGCGCACCATCCAGTAAAGACATCGGTCCGTACAAAGGCTACACGCGTGGAGGGGTGCAACATCTCCCAATTCGTATGCAACGCTTCATTTTGCCACTTGTTTGTTCTTTTTTGGTGCAAAATTTAGGCTAAGGTATTGGATTGGCGTGGGTCTACGAAGGCAATAGCGCCAAGGCCCGTCAGTTGGAACAAGTGGGACGAAAGCATAATTAGTGACGACCAACGCTAGCCGCGGACTGTGCATGACTCCGTGCTGCTGTTGACGTCATCCAGAGAGGCCCGTCTTCGTCCAGATTAGTCCACCACTGCGTTCGTCATTTCGTGGCAGTGGTGGTGTGGTGATTCCTACTGGCAAAATTTCCGTCCGTTTGTGTGCTGGCGCTGAGTGGGTGGCTCATGGAACCGGGCTGATCTATACCAAGGACTTTCAACCTTTAAGAGCTGTTTCGGGTGGCTTGGTCCTTTTATTAATGTGCTGTCTGTTGCGTGACTCGATCGTTCGGCATGTGATGTGATAACAATGAGACCCAGTCGTCTGCTAGACGGTGCCGCCGGCTGCCGCTGCGTAACTCCGTGAACCTCTCGCTTCCAGAGACAACTACTTCCGCAGTGGAGAGGGATTTCTGGTGGCGTTCTCCATCACAGAGGACGAGAGCTTCCAGGCGACGCAAGAATTCAGGTACGGCGCTTGCATACCGGTACGAATTCACCGTTTCAACGTCCTCCACGGCGCATTCGTCCCAGCATGACGCCTGGGGCTATGCACGTGCCCGTGCGCAGCGTCAGCTTCACGTCGCCATGTCTGCGACGAATCATAGCACGCCTGTCCGCCCGGCGCGTGTGTAGGCGACGCCGCTGTGGTGTCACCCCGCCACCATGGCCGTCCCCGGACGCTGCTGAGGTTTGCGTGTCCGCCACCAGGGAGCAGATCCTGAGGGTCAAGGACGACGAAACCATCCCGCTGCTGCTGGTGGGCAACAAGTGCGACCTGGAGGAGCGACGGCGCGTCTCGCACGCCGAGGCCGGCGCGCGTGCCGCCCAGTGGAACGTGCCCTACGTGGAGACGTCGGCCAAGACCCGGCAGAACGTGGACAAGGTGAGTGGGGGAGCGGTGGAACCGTGACAGGGCCACCTGGGTCGCGCCAGAACCCGGACAAAGGGGGGAGCCCGCATCCAGCACGAAGTGTACAGTATGAGCCGGGGCGCGGGGCGGCGTCTGTCGTGTGCAGTGTGAGCCGGGGCGCGGGGCGGCGTCTGTCGTGTGCAGTGTGAGCCGGGGCGCGCGACGCGTACAGTATTAGCCGGAGCGCGCGGCGTGCACAGTATGAGCCGGGGCGCGCGGCGGCGTCGGGCATGTGCAGTATGAACCAGAGAGTCTGACGGCGGCGTCGGTCGTGTACAGTGTGAGCCGGAGTGGTATGAGTCGGTCGTGTGCAGTGAGAGCCGGGACACGCGGCAACGTCTGTCGTGTACAGTATGGGCCAGAGCGCCTGACGGCGTGGGGCGTGTACAGTATGAGCCGGAGTGGTATGAGTCGATTGTGTACCGTATGAGCCAGAGCGGTATGAGTCGGTTGTGTACCGTATGAGCCGGGACACGCGGCGGCGTCGGGCGTGTACAGCATGAGCCGGAGCGCGTGGCGGCGTAACCGTGGAGTCCCCGCCTAGGCGGGGTCCGCCGTTGATACCAGACGGGCGACCTGGTCCCAGCGGCCGCCCTGACGCCCGGGCGACGCCCACCGCTGACGTGTGATCGGGTGTCGGCGGCCCGGGCGGCCCGTCCCGATCGGTTAACACGGGCGGAGCGGACGGGTCGGCGGGCGTCGCGGTCGGCCCCGTCCGGGTAGGGCTTCTTAGACCGACAGGCCGGCCGCCGTGTGCGCCATAGCAAGATACACTCGGGCCACGACCGTGCGTCACGTCACCCCCTCCCTCGCCGTCCTTCCCACAACCATTTTATATGGAGTTGAGGTATCAACAGTCCATGGGAGTGTGTGTGTGGGGGGGGGGGGGGGGATATTGTTCCCAGTAAACGTTGAACGTTAGACCCCTGGTGTTGCCGTGCGAGTTTATGCTGCTGGCGTGTGGTGGTTGTCCAGACTTGAGTCCATGGGAGTGAGGGGGATGTTGTTCCCAGTATGCGTTGAACGTTAGACCCCCGGTGTTGCCACGCGAGTTAATGCTGCTGGCGTGTGGTTGTTGTCCAGACTTGAGTCCATGGGAGTGAGGGGGATGTTGTTCCCAGTAAGCGTTGAACATTAGACCCCTGGTGTTGCCGTGCGAGTTTATGCTTCTGGCGTGTGGTGGTTGTCCAGACTTGAGTCCATGGGAGTGAGGGGGATGTTGTTCCCAGTAAACGTTGAACGTTAGACCCCTGATGTTGCCGCGCGAGTTAATGCTGCTGGCGTGTGGTGGTTGTCCAGACTTGAGTCCATGGGAGTGAGGGGGATGTTGTTCCCAGTAAGCGTTGAACATTAGAACCCTGGTGTTGCCGTGCGAGTTTATGCTGCTGGCGTGTGGTGGACGTCCAAACCTGCTCCGGCCGAGCCCGGCTCTGGTCCGGACTAGGTTGTTGACATGCAATGGAACGAAGTCATACGCAGTCTAATTTTATAAAGTCTAAGATGTGTTCTGCTGCGGTGAATTTGTGACTATGAAGGGGGTTCCACATTTGTATGGGGTTTTGAGCTGGAAGACCCGTATTGAAGATCATTTAGTGCAGTTCACAGCCCTGCCCTTCTTAAGACCTAAACCTCTGGTTTCTGAGCTACACTCCCGCGAAGACGTGCTGGGAGACTATTTCAAGGTCATCCGGGCAGCCATGACGCCATGATAACGTCATTCGCATCCTGCTATTCTATGAGCCATGCGGTGACCAAGGCCGATGGAGATATAATTGTCCGACCATACATACCTGGCGTTCGTGAGCATAATTGCCAGGTGTAGTGGCCGTCAATTGGCTCTCAATCAATGTTGTGCAAAGTGTGATGACGTAATCAAACAATGACGTATGGTGGAAGATATTTGCTAAACATAACAATTATGTTGTCCAGAGCGTTTTTTCCCTTAAAAGTATACCAATAACTAAAGGTGAGCTTGTTTCGTTACATCTCATGTTTGCTTCAGTATCTGCAAGTGTGGAATATTGCTGTTAACTTTTATGCGCGCAAAATTATCGCGCCCGCATAAGTTATGTAGAAGTTCGGAATTGTGATTGAAGTGCAAATTTTGCGTAAATGTATCGCTGTTAACGTGTAAGCATGAAACGTTATGTGATCTTTGTTTTACTGCGTCCTGGAAAACCCAGTACGGATGTAAAATGCAGGGTGCCGCAAGAGAAACAGGATTGTGGTATCCGACTATTTGTACTGTATTGCAGGCATGGGCTATGCGGCGATAGACGTCTTCATTCTATTCGTAATGAATCTGCTGGGGTTGTGATAAATAAACACCTCACATTTTCTGACAGTGCGGCTTCCATTTCAGTGTTTCTTCGACTTGATGCGGAAGATTTCAGCGAGGAAGGCGGAACACAACAAGGCCAGTCACGTGGAGGTGAAGGAACCGACCAAGTGCTGCCGGTTGTTGTAGTGGGCGCCGCCCCCGCCCGTGAAGAGCGAGCCGCACCACCGGTGCGATGGACCGCTGGCGTACTGTCCGAGGACCGAGCAGGCGCCGAAAGTCCCGCGACCGCGAGATTACCCCGCTAGAAATACAGCTAGAGCGAGTGTCACCCGGCCCGTGGAAGCGCGCCTCCGCCCGGCTCTGCTTGACTGTGTGGGCTCGGGCCGCTCGCGGCCCGGGAGTGACCGGAGCACCGACGAGGCGCCAACCCACCGTACTCCCGTGGCCTGTCCGGCGCTGGGCGGCGCGCTGCTGGGGTGTTGCGCATGCGCGATGACCTCTCCGGGTCCCGGTCGCCTCCTCCGACCGCTCCCCAGGCTCTCTGCTGGCGCCGGGGGCGGCCGCCTCCTGGCTACACCGAGACACCGATGGTGTTCAGCTACACGTGTGTTCCCTGCCCGCCGCTGCCGCTGCTGCTGGCGCCACGGCGGCGCCACCTGCCTCGCCTGCTGTGCCGAGTTCCCGCAGCGCCCGCTATCGCGTTTTGAGTGTGCACTCTTGCCGTGCGATGCGCTTGATAAGATTGCGTAGCGAGTGATTATTTTCGTACGGGATACCGGGCGGCCGGCGTTCTGTGCCGACTCGCCACGGATAGTATTGAGTTGCCTGTGGGCTCCGAGCCGTTTTGTACCAGCCTGCTCTGTTGCCGCTGCATCCCTTCTGATAATTTAGTGGCGGCTGCGGCCCGGAGTGGTGCTCGTCTGCGCCGCTGACCCGGGCCAGTGCGCGCGCGCAGCATGACGCCGTTTTGTGCGGACTGACTAGCCGCTTGTTCGGCTCGCTCGTGCCGCGTGTCTTGCGGAGAAAGCTATTCCGTGTATTTGTGATCGCAGGGCAACCGATATATATATACAAGGTGACCTTTGGTCCCGTCCTTTGCACCAGAGTGGCGGCCGCGTTGGCGTCGGACCCGCGAGCTCGCGGTGTTGAACTAGGTCGCCGGCGCAGCAGAAAACATACGTGATTGCTCGGCGAGCTGATGGGACGCACGCTGAATCGAAACAAGTGGAAGGTCCGGTGCAAGAGCTGACCAGGGTGCGTCGGATTGACGACATGGTCTGAGGTTAGGATGTATTACGTGAAGCCGTCACTACGAACGCAGCTGATATCAGCACGAGCAGAGGCTTTACCCGGATGACAGGCCCTTCGCGGTGCAACAACACATGCCTCGGCTCGCCTCCACCGGCGTGACTGTCACCGCGACGGCAAGATCCCGACAACACTCACTGACTAGCATTCGATTGGTGCCATCCGGGCCGGCGCAGCGTGCGTTATCTGGGCAATCGCGGCGCAGCGAACAAACTACACATGCAAGCAGACACCAAGAAAACCGGTCGGTCGGCCCCGGGACCTCTACCTCGGACTCGGCCGGCATGGCGCAAGCTACATATGCTGCGTTTGGGCCCGATCCCCCGCCGCGCACCCCGTGGGTTTCCAGCCCGGAAATGTCCACGCTGTGGGACGAACGTATCCAGCAAGCCACCGTTGTCACAAGAGCGTTTGACCATGCGTCCGGCTGGTGAGGGCGTGTCGGTCAGGTATCGCTACCGAGCCCCTTCCCAACACTGCTCCCACCCCACCCCCACGCCCCAGCTGTGCCATAGCAGGGGATTGCCCGGCGGAGGGCGGTCGTCTTCCTCTTCCGCAGCCGGGAGCACGTCTTCCCGGGTCCGGGCCGCTCACGTCGGCCACGACCCTTCCGAACGCTCATCTGGACAGCCTGCGCAACGCGGCGTGCACCTGCGGCTCGCCAGCCGTTGGCAGCAGCTGTCGCAGCACGCCGCACAGCAGCTGGTCGACGATGCCGGGCACCTGGCGCTCGGCCGTCTCGAAGGCGACTCGCAGCTCCTCGATGGTCTCTATGCACTCGGACGGCGGCGCAGCGTCCCCCTGCGCCTGGCTCTTCCGACGGCGCCGCTGCAGCTGCGGTGGGCCAGACCCGTCAGATTGGGGATCTGCAGGCTGGTATAGGCCAGAGCGAGACGTTTCGGCCCAAGCGAGTCAAACCGGTGCACATTAAGCCGCGTTTTCAGACTGGGGCCGTGAGACTGAGATCCCGGCTGGACTGATGTCCCTCAGACTGGGGCCCGCTAGAGTAGAATGCCTCAGATTGGGGCTCTCAGAGTGGGGTCCCTCAGACTGGAGCCCGCCAGAGTGAAGCCCGGCAGACTGGGGCCTGACATACTGAGGTTCTTCGGGCCCATGACTGGCAACGGAGACATTACAGACGACGCTCGTCGGACGGAGACTCAGGTACCGATGGGAGCTCACAGGATGCAGCCCGGGCTCGTCTTGAACAAGCACGAATATCCTCGATCGGTTCAGTTTCTGACTGCGCGAAAACGTTAACTAGAACGCTCCTCAGATTGGCGCATTCAGCAGGAGGGGACCCAGTGCGTCTAACCAGCAGCGCCCCTCGGACCACGCTACCGCGTGCGGTCGGCGACGGCACCGACCTCAGCCAGCAGCGGGTAGATGGAGCGGCTGAGGGCTTGACTGCCGCTACCGCCAAAGGGCCAGACGTCTAGGCTGGAGGAGCTGCTGGCAAAAACTGCTGCCGATCCGTTCAAGTCCCTCGTTGGGCTGCCAGGTTCTGTGCTGAGGTGCCGTGTGCGAGTGCTTGTGTCCGCGGTGGAGGGCGTTGGAGCGACGCTGGCAGGAACTGGCGGCGGCGGCTCCAATGGCCTTGGCTGTTGACAGAAAAAACACACGGACGTCCAAGATCATGACGTTGACACTCTTTCCGGTTCGTGTCTGCCGATCAAACACTGCCATTGCTGGACCAGAGCCGACCGATCGAGGCTCTCAGTGACAGCACGTCGGAGCCGGGGCTGCCAGAGGACCTAGTCGGCGCGTCTCACTTACATCGCTGGCTGTGGACCGCGCATCGACTGTTCGTGAAAAACGCCTAGGGCTGCTCACCCTCATTGACAGGTCAACGCCTGCTCACGGGCTGGCTGCAGACAGCCAGTCCTGCCTCTGTGACCATCTGCAAAGCCGTATATGCTGTGGGTAGGTGTCTGCAGACCGCGTGTGAACCGAGCTCGCTCCTCGCTGTTCTGAGGGTTGGGCACTACCTGTAGGCCTGAAGGTGGACAGACCGCGCTGTGCGACTGTCTGCGCTTCCTCTCGGCCGCCAGCTGCTCCGCCAGGCCGCCAATCTGAGAGTCTCCTGGTGGCGTGCCAGGCTGCCTGAGGTCCGCCACCTACCGGCCGGTCAGAGTCTCTGGTGTTCCCCACGACCGCCACGAGAAAATGTCGCTGACAGCACGGTGCATGCGTCTACTCGCGTGCGGGCGCACTGCGCTTACGGCCAAAAATCGGACCGAAAAGAACAAACCATGCTCAAAAGCTTCCTTGTAATTTGTGACACGAAGGCACATTTACAAATGAGCGAAAGGGGCACGGCAGCATCGTGAAACTAACGCCTAACTAACTTCTAACTTGCTGTTAACCAAGACTAGCTTCCTGCACACGGCTTGAGCAGATATGTGTTTGGTGCAGTGCGCCTAACCTGTGCGATTAGCGGCGGCGGCGCCTGACTGTTGCCGTGGTTCTGCAGGTCCACATTCGGCGCCTGCGGACAGTCGTCATCGTGGATTCGGGCTTGACGCCGCTTGGGCGGTCCGCGCACCGAGTGAATCCACTCCGACTCGTCCAGCTCCAGGTCAACGTCCACCGAGTCACTGGAGAGCCAACAAAGCGACCAAACTGAAGCACGACGAATCATGTCAAAAGCGGCTCATACTGTATGCACCTCTTCGTGCAAGTGGCCAAACGTTTTGGAAGGATAGCTGCCGCATCACAATGATGACGAAGCCTTTATTGACGTGGAAGCCCTGGTCCGATCATACGAGCAGAGCAATCCAAGCTCAACAGCTTCGTTTGCCGAAAAACAACTCACGTGGTGCCACAATGCCAGGACACGCCGCTCCCCCTCCCGCGTTAGCTTAAATTCCAGGCCAGCTGACAACGTGCCGTCAAAGCTGAGCCCCCAAAGAACGGTTCCTGGGGCACTCTCGCATGTCCACCACTCGCTTGTTAGGACATCTGGCGCCCCGCCAGTGAGGCTGTGGCGATAGATACAGAACAACTGTGTATGTGCACTGGTGACGATTTTACAGTCGTTACAGCTCTGTAGTGCGTGCAGTGCAAGGTGCAGATGCCTGAAAAACTGTCCGAGGAAGTCCTCATATCTAGCTTTCCAGCCCTCTGAACACTTGTCAGTACTCCTTTTTATTTGACAAAGAGTGGGGAGGAGGAAAACCCATATTTCCTCAGATACTTAAACTCTTCGCATGTGCGTTCGCAATTTCGCTCTTCGCCGTATACTCAATGATTCAGCTGTCATGGGCACTCAACAATTTCCTCGGGCACACTCATACACAGTGGACACTCACATCCCGCGGACACTCGCATTCCGGGACATCCGTGCCCGGCGGACACTCACGCGTCCGTCTCGCCATCGCTGTCCGAGTCCTCCTGCGTCAGCTGCCACTTCTTGTAGTGGTCCACAAGCTCTATCAGACGCACCGTCTGCCGAGCCTTACGGACGAACGGCAAATGCAGCAGTTCCTTGGCGGTTGGGCGCTGCGAAAGGGCGCCGCAACAACAGCATGAGAAACGGCAGACGATAATGAGCCAGACTGTATCACATCAATTAGCTCAGCATCTACTGAGCTTTGGATAAAGAGTACTTAAATATGGAAGGGTTTGATACTGCTTCGGCTCTATCAAGCCATTTCGAGAACAGTTCTGATTGCATTCAACTATCTTTGCTCTCGAATACAAAATGATATGATGCCTTTCTCGATTACGTCAGCGCAGGCATGAGCGTCAGTGAGTGGAAAGGGAGCACAGGAGCACAAAGCACGGTGCACTCAGCAGGAGGCACGCGCGTGCTCACATCGTCGGGGTCCTTATTGAGACAAGTCTCGACGAAGTCCTTGAATGGCCGACTGAAGTCACCATCCAGCCGCGGCGCGTTATTCTTGGGGATGAGGAAGAGCACCCTCATCGGGTGAAGGTCCGAGTATGGCGGCTGACCCTTGGCCAGCTCGATAGCGGTGATGCCCAGGGACCAGATGTCCGCCTGTTCACATCAGGGCACAGTGTCAGCGCTGTGCGGCAGCACGCCGATCTGGCCGCGGCGTCAGTGGTGTCGTTCGGTATTGTAAGCATTCGTCACTGCACGCTACTCGACATAAGACGCTGGCGGATACGTCCGTAAGTCCCGGCTGAGGGCGGAGGGGCGTTCGTTACAACTCTGCGTGAGAACATATTCCAGTTTCACGAGAATTGTTGATGTCAGTGGTTGGAGGAATGTCAGCTTAAGAGTCACCAAATTATCAGGTTTCTTTGAATATCTTAAGGGATTTCATCAGCACCTCTGAGTAGCACTACTCACGTTGGCATCTGACACCTGCCACAGCGTCCACCCCTCGCCTTTTCTAACAGCCTTTGCGAGCGCTTCGCAGCCGCCAGATAGCCTAGCTGAGGACCGAGGAGCAGGGGAGGTCGGCCAGCCCGCCTGTAGAGGCGGCGGCCCAGAGGCGGCGGTCAGGAGGTGGCGGCCCAGAGGCGACGACCCAGAGGTGGCAGCCCAGAGGCGACGACCCAGAGACGGCGGCCCAGGGGCGGCGACCCACCTTGGAGTCGTAGGCGCTCTGTTGGACAACCTCGGGCGCCATCCAGAACGGCGTGCCGACGAACGTCTGACGCTTCGGCGTGTCCGAGCTGAGCTGGCCGGCCACGCCAAAGTCGGCCAGCTTGACGTCTCCCTGCTCCGAGAGCAGGATGTTGGCCGCTGCCGGACGGCAGGTGGCGTGGTTGGTAAAGCAATATGCTTGAGATCACAAGACTCAAGA